TGATGTTGTAGCAAACGTGTATTATATACAAGGTATTACATACCTAACCTAACCTTACCTAACCTAACGTAACCTAACCTAACCTAACCTAACCTAACCTCAGGTAACATGAAATCAAAGACTTATATTGTGTTATTTGGTTATTTAATAATTTATTATATTTTTATAGAATAATTTCTTATCAAGACTAAACACATAAGTAAACTGTGAAAATCGGTGAAATGTAAAAGATGCACAACCGAACCCAAAGTAACCAATCAGAAATCCAGGACAATCCCAACGACAAATTAACTAGCCACAATGATAACCACGATGTGTGCATACGATAATACTTTCCCTATGCCCATTGCAGTAGAAACGGCAAGTTTGAATGGAACATTCCATAAACAGACTTGCTATGTTGCCTCGAGCTCCGACACAGCTGTAAAGACGATTCTAAACAATAACAAGAGTATAACAGTCCAACTTTCTCTTATCCGACCTTCCATTCGGATCATTTTACAGATTTATTTTAGTGTTCCACCGTAACAGAATTTTATTGTCACCGTCAATCAATGCGTTCCTTGCGCAGAACTCTACTATAAGGTTGATTGAAAAGTAGGAGCAAAATATTATTTTTTTCTTTTTATAGTATAGTTAATTTTCATTCAAAACCCAGCTACAGGAATGGATGCATTAGTTCTATATTTGGTATAAAGGCTTCAAAACCTTTTTTTATTATACAAGGACTTAAATATTAGTAAAAATGTGTTATTATAAAAACTGTGTTTATCAAACAATAGCTACAGGCTATATATAAAAAGGTTATAATGAACACAAACTTTTGTGAGACGCTTAAGCCGCGCCCCTATCAACTACACACTCAGGCCTAAATGAAAGTTCTTTCAATCTGAAACTTCCCGGAAAAATATGTCAGTGTTTTCGATAAAAACTCTCATAAGGGAACGAACCTCAATCAATGGGTTGTATTTAATACCATTTAAAATATTACAGATGCGGCAGTTACATTTTGTTTTACTCCAAATTGTTAGTTACCGTAACTTTTTTGCGAGTTAAACTTGTGATTTTCATTAAAGATTTTCTATGTTTATGTTATGATACATAATTAAGTTTTATTCTGCAACACAGTTTACTGCGAATACACATGTGATTTTCATTAAAATAAGACATTGTCATCCCAACATATTGTATATGCCTTTGTTTGTTTAAAAGCTGTCTGCGTCACTAATTAAGCAATCTATAAGAACCTCCAACTAAACTCTTTACGCCTCTCTCTTATTTCTCCATTCCTGTGTTCCCATTAACCACACAATGGTCCAGTCCTAGTTCCCACAAGAGTAATCTGTGTTTCAGGTTAATTCACGTAGCTTCATCAGCTGGTTCAGCACATTGTTGTAAATCAGCTGATAGCGAAAAATACAGTGATCCTACCAGGATAAAATATTTCCAATAACGAATCGTGTAAACTTGAGAGTTTTATAGACTTCTCATCCCATTGTAAATTTTGAAGCACGTTTTTCGTGTCTAGTTCATGTACGTGACACATGGGCGCTAGTGTCGACGAAACTTTGTTTCTATTATTTTAGGGTTAATTTCTTGATTTGTGCTTTACTGTTTGGTTATATAACTAGGGGACAAGTTATTGTTTATGATTAGATCGTATTATTTGGCTAAACGAGGTTTTAAATGGCTGTAATAACGGGAAACAAATTGTAAACAAAACACGACCTCTACATAAACCGTACAGAACTAACAATAAAATTGTCTTCGGCTGTTCCATAAGGATGAGAAATCTACTAAGGGAGTATGTTTTATCTATGGTTTTATTATTCCTCAAAACACTCACTAGTCTTCGTAAGAATACAAAATCTGTAACACCTAGTAGTGTGGCGTTTTATTGGCTGTAAATTATTAGAAGGAAGAAAGCAACGTATAAATAAATACATGTGTAGGGTGCTAAGAGACTGTTTCTTGTCGAATTTACGTGAATGACGTTGACCACCTATTACATCTGCAACTCTTCGTCATCCATAGATTTATAATACAATCTCAATAGATCCTAAGTTAAGTCAGAAACTGTTTTCGAAACTGGTCCCAGCTGTCTTTGGTCATTTAAATGCCCTGACACAAGAAACAGCTGCTCTTAGTCGGAAACAATGCTTGCTCTGCCATCACATCCCTTCTACACCCACCCGATTGTCTTAAAATGCACACCTTGGTAAAAATATATCCAATCATTTGCTATCGAATCAAATTCAACCGCTATCCCGAGAAAAGTCTGGAACTTCTTGATTACTGCACCAGTCTGACCTGATCCAGGATTTGCCAAATTGTCTATGCTGAAGAAACAAATTGTCTACAGCATCTCGTACACACTCACCCTTCAGGTTAAATACACCCAGTTGCGTGCCCATCGCAATTGGTGTTAATAGGAATGCGAAGAATCGATTTGTTCTGTAGTTCACCACCCACACACGGCGCCGCACAAGTAGCAACAATAATTACGCCAACATCGGCCTGCTGCGGTTACCATAACCGGTCTGTGTCAGCGCCTTCGCCCCAGGCCGAGGTCCTGCGTCTACAGACTCGACAACAGCGGGACTGTCAGTCGAAACACAAAGTTCCACAGATCATCAAAATGTCGCTGGTTTGTTCCTGTGGTTGTTGGCTTCTTGTTGGTCAAACTAGACCCTGCTGTTCTGATCATATTTATACCCAGGTGCCACATTCTACAACAGCAGGACTGACAGTCAAAACATGTAGACACGTGTGATTGAAATATACACAAAGCTGGGGGTAGCCATGTGGTTAGAGTTCCCGGTTAATCTCAAGTCAATCCTGAAGTGGGGGCCTTCTTGATGGTTCGAAACTGGACCCTGATGTCTTGGGCTTTTCATAATATGTCTGATCTCAGTAAACGAGCTGTAACCTCATCAATCCAACGCTCATCCTTCCTTCGCCTTTGATTTGCAATATAGTCTAGCCGAGTACCTAGTAGTAGTATTATAGTAGTGTTGTGTTTCACTCTAGGAGTTCAATCCTCCTAGGACACTTAAATTTCGAATCTCGCCGGTTGGAATATAAAAGTGATTGGAGCTTTTGTGACAGAAATTGGTAAACATGTCTAATTTCAAAACCTGATATACAAAATTACAAGTGTTGATACAATAAATTGCATTTTTTGTAAAATTTCAAACATTTAAAACTTGAAAAATATTTCTAGTAAAACGTTCGATAAGCTCGTTAGCACGTTAATGCTAACCTCTGATCACTAACTGCTTAGGCTGGAGCGGTGTCATGACTAGATGTTATACCCATGTTATACCTAAATAATTGCGAACTAATACAGATGGATTGGAACTTGACCCAGCTGTAACTGTTTAAAAACTACTACCATAATATCGTTCACTGTTGACTCTTCTTCGCAATACACTTGTATATTGGAGTCGCAAATTAAATTTATTGGTAAATAAATTAAACATTCTTTCCTTATAGTTAGCTCCTTACACTGTATATCAAAGTACGGCAATTTAAATAAAAATTCCACCAAAAAATATCAAGAAGAGTTAAGATACTAAACGTGCACTTTACGTGACTTGAACATGATATGGTAAAAACTTGTAAAATGAAGTCTCAGAAATTTACAACTTTTTGTAAACAGCATTTAATAAAAACGATTTACAGAAACTAACAATAGTTTACTGACGAACGAAAAACAATGTTTCTACTACCTCAACGAGCATACATAAGTAATTTTTATTCAGCGTCTAGAATTTAACCAAAACAGAATTGTTTTTTATTCCCTATATTGTTTTTGTTATGTTGAAGTTGCCTACATAGGCGTCCCATGAACAAAATTTGGAAGGGGGCACGCACAACATGTCAGCAAGTATGAAATCTAAAAATAAGTTAAAACTGTATTTTTATTAAAGACATCCCCAAAAGTTGGGGGACAAAGACCCCCCGTACCCCCTTACGGGACGCTGAAGTAATAATCTGAATTAAGAAACAGTAACAAAATAACGCATTTCATTTACCAAACAAAATATTTTGGGCAACCAATCTTATCTCATGAAAATCACAATAAACTTCAACTTCAGTGCATTTTATAAGATATGATTCGATATGTCCATGTAGAACAGATTTGTATAGCCTATTTTCTTTATCTGTTTTCAGCCACTTCAAAGTCAAACGTATTGGCACATTTAATGTACTGTAACATATACTGACACTGTATGTCAATAATTTCGTCTGATCAGGTATTAAGTATTTGTAATTAGGGTAACTTTGGTACTGAAATATGCTTTTCAAATGGCTTGATTTATAAAAACTTTAATTGTGGTGTAGTTTACAATTACTCACCCCATACCTCAAATAAGTTTGTTGATAGGGAATATATACATTTGTAAATATCTTCAAAAGCGTGCTAAAATAGGAGAGTACAAAATTTAAAGATTCATACTTCGAAGCCCTGTCTTTTAGAAACTGTTTTAGGATTTGTGATAGGAGGTATTTGTTTAGCAATCATCATTTTACAAAAATTATCTTACAAAACTGTAAAGCGGTTGCAATTTTTGATCCCTTCAATTTTGAAGAATATTATTTACACGTGGTATTAATTGGAAAGTCAAAGTAAGTGTAAAAACATTACTCTCAAAATAAGCTTAAGCATGGACAGACTTTTAAATACATCAGAAAAACCAATGGAAATCATAAAAAATACAAGTCCAAAAACGTTATTGACTGTGCCAAACACCTGTTCTCTTTTAAAGCAAAATAAATCGATCCGTTTCAAAACATTACACATTCAGAGTAAATTATCGAACTCACAGACAAAAAACATCACAAATCAAGCATTACAACAAAACAAATTAATAACACAATTTTCAATTAGTACACAACACCAAATCATAAACAAACTAAAAGGTAAAATAAATATGCAAACATTCATCTCGTGTCCGAAAACACCTAAGTAGTATTTACAGGAAAAAAAATGATACCTGTATTGTTGTATTATCCGTTTGAAGGGCGATTTAGTGGATCACAATACGAAAAAATCCAGAGAGATCACACTATACAACCGACTACTTTGCGCGCGGCAGAACAACTGTTTGAAAAGCAAACAGCAACAGAACGCTGGAAGCGCTCGAAGGTACTGCAGCGCTATCCCACACCCTAGCGGAGACACAGAGAATCACACCGTAGAATTCGCGACCAAACCCTCTCCAGAAAATTAAAATCTATGTAGGATTTCAATAACTATATAGAAATTCAATAACGATATATTGAAACCTACTGTTTCTATACCCTATACATACTATAGTAGTTTTGTTCTGCCTGTGCTTCGCAATCGCAACGAACGGGGTAAGAATACATTTAAGAGAATTAAGTATTTTTATGTGGGTCTCTAAATCTACCATAAAATGATTTTTACAGTACTTACCATGCAAATTATACAGGCAAATCTCAATCGTACCAATTGCTTATTTTAATTATCTCTTGGGATCTCTTTTGGTAAATCTATTGTGCATCAAACTGTGTGGCAGGATCAAAATTAATAACTTTGTCGTAATGTAATAAACTTTGTCTATAATAGGAAAATGTAATAAACAAACTATAAATGAAAGCAAATCTAACAGCTGATGCTTCTTCAATATGTTAAAATGTGACTAAATACAGTCCTTTGGTATCAAGACTTCTCACTCAAGTATGTGGTTGATGGTGTGACGGAGCGACAACCGTCCGGTTCAGTGGCAGTGGACGGCTGACGGCACGATTTTCTGTCGTCGCCGTAACGTGTGGCGTGAAAGCATCTTCTCTACGCTAAAAAAAAATCGTATAGTTTTTAGCCGCACCGTACGGCGAAAACCGTATAGAGAAAAAGAGCGTTACAGTTTTCTCAAAGTCCGTGATCCTTGTTAAGCTTATAGACCTGTTGTTCATGTGTAGCTATCTATTATATTATTAAAGTGATACAATCAAATTTTATATAAACGGTTAAGGCTATTTACCAAATAAAAATTTAGGCTTATGGCACATGAAAATAAAGCTTAGAGTGTGTAGATTTGCCGAAAAGTATTGATATGGACGATTGCCCTAAGGGCTCTGCCCCACAGGCTGTTTTCCAAAGGGCTACGCCTGGCATACTTCTTATGTTTACATGATTTAATTTAATTTAGTTAATGAAACAGCTGGTCAGTACAATGAACTGGTGTTTGTTTATTTACTCGAAAAAGATGTTTGTAATGATTTATGTAGATTTAGGAGGGTTATGTTTGGTTTTAAAGAAAGTTTGTATACGTTTTGTAAAGAATTGCTCAAAGTTTCATTTGTAATTTATATGTACGTAAGCTACGTAAAGAGGCTTGACTAAAGTTGAAGAATGATGGTAAAACATGTCATTCGTGAAGCATCAATATGAAGCAATTGATGCTATTGCTACACTAAAGGTATGTTGTCATATTCTATTGGATCTATTAACATCCAAAGTAGGGGTTTGAAAGTAATCAGGTTTACACTTTTGAATCAGTTTATATTTTCAAACTAAATCATAGAGTTGCCGTATTTTAAAACATTTTTTTACAAGTATTTATTTACAATCTATTCTATACTTGAACAATAAGTAAATTTAATAACCATACATCAGAATTACTTTAATAACTCTCTAGGTCACATTTTCTTCCCGTTGCAAAGCACGGGTATAGCAGCTTGTAATAATTGAATAAAGGCGAACACTATAACCACTCATCTACACAGTACTCGGACAATATTATAGCATTGACTATTGAATAGTCAAAGATTATAGCATAGATTAAACACACTCCCTCTAATGGAGTATGTTTAGTCTATGATTATAGTTAACGTTTAGAAAATTAGGGTTGACCTTTGATCGGGGTGGATCATTAATATACTGTGTGATCAGTTTTCGCTCGATGGCATTAATCACAATGTCCTTCAATAACCTGGTTGTAATCATGTTAAGAAAGATGTGTAGGCTAGTCACAAGATAAAAGGTTTTGGGCCAATTTCCCCCCTTAGACTTTTTTATTCTAGACTAGTTGATTAAGATTTTTAGTAGGCCTATATATCCACTAACGTTCGTTCTAAAAAGTTAAAGTTTTCGTTTGACAATCAAGAATGACAGTCTTTCAGTCTTTTGAGATTGATTTCTAAATAGTAAAATTCAAAGTTTCGCATTCCTATTTTATGTGTTTCCTCTTTACTCTAACTCAAAACTGCAAGGAAAACGAAGTAGTACATGTTCATAAAATCTCACATTGAAGAATCAGGCAGAGTGTTCATTTTTATACATGATTGATGGTCATGCTATAAGACGGCACACGGAACATCATGCCACAAGGTTTTATCCTGTCAGCATCACTCGAGGTCGGGTCCATCTTGAACTGTAACATCCTAATTTGAAGTTTATAAAAGGTTTGAGTGGCTGAGGCAATCCTTTCTGAAAGACTTTTCGACTATGCCCAGGCAGGGCCACATGATGTTCCGGACCAGTGGGGTGTGGGCCTCCATGGCGTAAAAAGAAACTCTGGGGTCCAGGAGTAGCTTCTGTCTGCCCTAAAGATTAACGGTTATTGTATGGCTGGCGAGTTTTGACATATCTAACCACCTCCAACACTTGCTATTACATTACTGCTATATTTTTATGTTAAAAAATCTCTGTCACTCTTGAGTTTCACACAGATAAAGTTTTTTTTTTTCTTCTGAGAAGTTGTACTTAGTGAGAAGTGTGCTACCTATCGTTTCTACTGTAACACGTAACATAACAAGTTTGCGATTATCGGCTTCATACAGACTTACGCAGTAAGCTTTGTGACATCAGATAATTTGGAGTTAAGTTGAGGACGTTGAGGCGATTGTTCTGCCATTTCGTTGTCTCTTAATTTTGCTTGTAGCACAGCCTGTTAATCATGACATGACTTAGGCCGGCCGCACACTGATGCACCATTTCACCTGAAGGATAGGGAACCCCTACTTACCACCTAGTACTTACTACCTAGTTCTAGCTAATTCTTATTCACATCGATTTGAGTAAGTACTAGAACTACATAGTACGAACTACGTAGTATGTACTACCTTTTATTTCACCCAATGGAAAAAGTTGCAAGCTATGGCCACCATTACTAACAGTTTTAAAAGAAACAGGAGTCCAACTTTAAGATTTTAAGAAACTTGAACTTTAAATAATTAAACTGAAAAGACATTAAAATTGAAAAACATCTAACCACACCAACTTTAAGCTATAATCCTCGGGAAACTCAATTTATTAGATTTACAAAAATCATTTCCTAACTAGCATCATGCTAGCATTTCGAAAAAGCCCGGGAAATTTTGAATAGATGACATAGTGTGGCTACATGGTAGGTAAACCAAACCAGCTTTATAAAAGCAAACTAGAAAAGAAGAAGAAGCAGGGGGGGAGATTGTTGTGAATTTGTGATGATAGGTTATGTTTTGTTATGGTTAGGTGAATGTTTTATTTACTTAGTCAGTCATTGAGAGGGGATTATGATTTTATTTTTAAATTATTTTATCGCAGCTAAACTTCCATTTTAACCAGTGAAATTCGTTATTGTAAGGTAACAAACCTACTAAATATCTTCATTTTTATTCACATCCCCTAAGACTGGGGTGACCTAGTCTCAAGTTACTTGTGTCAGTGTCACTAGCCTAGTGTTTTTGTTTTATTCACGATGAAACTTTAGGCCACTAGCTATGGAAGATATCTGTAAAAAATATTTTGTTAACTTTCAAAATGAAGAAGAAAATGAAGTGAGTGGATTCATCAGATCCAAAGAAAAGTACGATGCTTTTTTAAATGAACTAACCTCAAATGGTTTCTCTTTTTCTACGAGGAGTTCAGGTTATTATAATACTTTAGTTTATTATATTATTTATTAAGTTAGTTTGGGTACAGTTTTTCAGGGAATATAGGCCCTCTATTATAAGTTTAAATATCAATAACTTATAGGCCTATCGATTTTGATTTGTTTTCATACAGCCTAACTTATTGTTTATTACTTACTTATTGTTTGTAAGTAACACAGTAACTTAAGTTAGGCTATAATCTTTTTATGTACCGTATAGACCTTCATCGAATTAAGTTATGAGCGGTTTAAGTTTTTATTGCGCAGTAAATGAAACTAGGCCTATCAAAATTAAACCAGAAAACAAAATTCATTTCATGAAAGGTAACAAAACAGACAAAAGCCTGACCAAAACTTATGGAAATTATTCCGTATAAGTTTAGCTACAATGTTAACAATTTATTTTTTATATGTCTACTTAACCTAGACCCTACAGTTTTTTGCACGCTGAATCCGAAAATGAAATAAGTTTTTGTCAGAAAGGCTCCTAAGTGGCTAAAACTAACTTAAAAGTGAAAAATTACAAATCCAAGGTCCATTGAACATTGCAGATGGTAGGCTAGTATGGTGGTTTGGACGGGTCCGTATGTGGACTGTGGAGAGCATACAGCTGTTTACACTCAACTTAATGCGTAATAGAATTGATTCGTTCTGAACGGTTTGTTTGCAGACTAACTTAACTTAAGTTAATCAGCTCTCTTTAATCAGAAGGTAGGTCGGAATTTATATAGATTCGTGACTGAAGGCTATTAAATGTTTTGAAGTTAGGTAAAATTAGGAAGTGTAGTTTAGGTTATAATGATCCGACTCATTAATTTATGTTAGCCTACTTCCAGACTGTTTTTTTCACTTAATCTAAGGTAAATACCGTAGTGGGGCAAACACAACAAAATAATATGCCTAGTTTCAAAAATGCTTGCATTTGCTTAATGAGTTAGTTACTCTTAGTAATTAATTATTATTCTTGCTAGGCCTAGTTATAGGCAGTCTGAATTGTTTTGTTGCAGATAAGGGGTAATTTTTGACACTTCTTATATTTTTCTCAACGCCCTTGGACCTTAGGGCCAGGGCCTAAGCTTTAACATGAATCCTCAACAGCCACTCTACATTTTCCCTTTAGAAATATTTCATGGAGACCGATTCGCTAACAAAATTAAATATATAAATTTTTGTGGGTTTTAACGTAATTTTTATGTTTAGAGGCCAGGACACAGTTTCTGGTTGCAGTAGGCTATATTTTATTTGCACATTTACTGTTTTGTTTGATAACCAAACCCTAAAAACTTCTTTTTGTTTCAGGAGCATCTCATAATAGCCAAAGAGTTTTCTTCGAATGGGGTTTCCCTTGTACAAAGTCTCGACATTTGTACTTGCAATGTGGCCACGGTCAACTGTATTACGAGACAAACAAATCTAATAGAAATATTAAGCAGGTAAGATATTTGTAATAGTGTACAGCAAATACAGGGGAACCTTGTAAAACTGAACATTGACCAACAAAAATCTAATTAAACGTAAATAAAATCTTTCTTATTTCATTTTAATTAGTCAACATATTAGTCGAGTAGAACCTCTTTAATTCTAACCAATTGGGACCGTAGGTAGTTCAGACTATTGAATTGTTCAGATTACCCAACATTTTTGTTTTTGTTTTTCCAAAATAGGCCTAATAGCCAAAATGGATCATAATTGTTACGGGAAAAGTGAAAAATGCTTTATAAAGTAAAATACAGTGTTTATTTAATAAAATAGTAAACATAGTGAATAAATAGTACTGTACATTAACAGTAGAAACAATTACGGTGTGTATTTCAATAAATACAGTACAATAAATAACTACTGTAGTACCTACTGCGTATAGAGTAGGCCTACAGCAATGAGGCGTTCGGATTAGTGATTAAAGAGGTTCCACTGTATGTCATTTTAACTTTAAAATAAATTTGTGCTCAATTTACTTAAGGTTCTCTCAGCCTACTAACCTGGTTTCTAAAATGCCAATATTTGTTCGTAGACTCTCGCTCATCAATGTGGCGGACGTCCGGTCTGGATTATGAAAAATACGAACTATCGAGAGCCGAGCAAATACAGGACTGTATATAGCCGTTTTTTTCAATTTGTCTACAGTATTGATAGTGGGGTAAATGCAGTTCCACCAGTAATAATTTTTACCGCCGTGTTATCCGAGGTAGTCTCGGTCTGGTTTAGCTCAGATATAGGACTTCTACTGTATTGTGCCATGAAAAAAAATCTCGATTGCTGATTCGGACTAGCGGGAGTCCGGACAAGGCCGATCCGGATGAGCGAGAGTCTACTGTATCAACATAGGCTAATAATTTTACCGTCCATCTTATCAGGAAATGAAATACAATTTTCAAGGGTTTTCAAAAAGGTGTGTGCCCTAGAATTTAGAACTTTCTTGTGTAGGCTACACCTTGTTAGTTCTTACACTTAGTTAATTGTTTTAGAATCCACATCCTTTTAAATATGCTTGAATGTTTTATGACTGCTCCAGATTTCTCTAGATTCAGTATTTTTTCCTCTTAATAAATTAATAAATTTTGTTTCCAGGATCATCTTTACGAGAAGAAAAGAAGAGTTGTCACACAAAACACAAAGAAATTAGGGTGTCCGTCAAAAATGACTGTCAAAATACGGTTTATTTACCCTGAGTATGCAAATGATCCCAGAAAACAATCCAAGTATAATAGGACCAAGGTGTGTATTTGTATAAATTTGAAACTATTCTACCATTGTATCTATCGTTGGTAAAAACTGCCAGGAAAACAACATGTAGTAATATATTTTCTTTGTGCTTTATTTTATTAAATCATCTAACTATAAATAACCAATGGAGGATTCAGCATTCAACTAGATGACAAATCAATCTTGGCTACCAATGTTTTGAGCACAGGGTGTAATATTATACAGGGTGTTCAATAACAGGTGGGGGCATAATTTACGTACTGGTTCTTTGGGTCAAAATAAAGAGAAAATCAAGAATACATTTTTTTCCAAAATCGCTTTGTTAACCTGATATCCGCCATTTTGTATTTTTTAGCCTACATAAAAAATGTTATCTTTGCATTTTTTCAACCGATCTCCGATCTTTATGAAAATTGGTATGTATGTTAACGTTAAGGTAAAAGAAACACATGTTAGGAAAAAACTATTTAATTAAAAATTAGTTTAATACTTAAAATTTCAAAATGGCAGCCGTTTTAGTTTTTGAAATTTAAATTACTCGAAAATGGCTGATTTTATGAACAAATTGTCTAGAACACTTTTTTTAAGCATTTTTAATTCTGTGACGGCCCCAAAAATTCCCAGACCCATTACCTATCAGCTGGGGAGGTTTCTTTTAGATGCACCCTCAGGAAACCCTGTCAATACCGTCACAAAACCTTTGCTTTATTTCAAATATAAAGAGAGGGTCTGTAATATTGAACTGTTTAACCTCCCTACGTCTGCGTCAGCCAGTTGCCTCACCATGGAATATTCCGTCAGCCATGGCTTGACGCCAGGCCAGGCCAATGTTCCCAGAAGTATGACGCGCATGGCTGGAATTTGAGCTAAATTCCTCGCTGAACTCAATAACTGCTCAACTACAGTTTGTCTAACGCCTCGAGTGATCGTTAGGCAGCAGCACTATCCATAGTTGAACTGACGTCACGCGGAATAGCCGCAACGTTGATTGGCTGCTTCCCCTCCACGGCCAACTTGGCTACAGACAGAGAACACTCAGTTGCTTAGTCTAAATTCTAAATTAATTTCGGTCGGTCGCCTAAATTTCCACGTCGCCTTTCCCCGTATCCTCCTCTGGAGGCTATGTTACGCCCTTTTTATAAAATGGAATTAATCATGACAATCTTCACCTTAGCATTGTAAACCTAAAACTTAACTTAATGTGGAATAGTATTTTCTTATAAGCTAGTACTTTGTGTTTATACATTTATTAATACAGCAAGTCGAAAGTTACCTTATAAGTTATTTTATTATAATAAATTAATCATTTCGAAGTTTGTAGTTTCATTCGGCAACCTGTCACAATTCCATATCAAACGATACCAAGATCGAAAAAGAAATAGCTTAAATATTACGATTTTTAGTTGTAAAATGGAGCAAACCTGACTTGCTTACTGCCTTATTCTACCCCATTAATGTATCCAATTTGTTTTCATTTATGTCTTTGTAAATATTTATATGTGTTCAATGTTATACCAAATCGACAACATCTCATTAAGAGATAGCAAACTAAAGTTTTAGCTACCCTATGAGACAAAGGACAGACGATAACGTTTCGACGTAGAAACCTAGTGTCCGTTATCAAATAAATTGAAGCCTTGGATTTAATTATGTTCAATAACGATCCAGAGGCTATATCTCCAAAAGTAAATAACCTTCAAATTAAAAAAAAGAGCTCTATGACCAATTGGCTATACAGTCAATAGTCAATATAGCAGTAAACATAATATCTAGGCCTACTTGTTAAATAAATTAATTCTTGCTAAAAAGATGTTTTAATTTTAACTTTACTAATATACAGAGTGTCCCGGAACTCTCTACCAATATTTTAGGGCATTGCTTCTGGGTAAGAAACATACCTAAATATCATATTTAAATTGTCCGGAAGTCCTTAGTTACTCATACAGCCGCCATTTTGTTTTTTTCAGTTATTAATTTTTTCTAAAGAAAGGTTAAACATACGAAATGGAAACTTTGCCCAAATATTTATGACAACTAGACAAAGCTACCAAAAAATTATGAAGATTTTTCAAATTCATAAAACAAAACTTTCATAAAACTGAAATAAACAAAATGGCGGCTGTGTGAGTAACTAAGGACTTCTGGACAATTTAAATATGATATTTAGGTATGTTTCTTACCCAGGAGCAATGCCCTAAAATATTGGTAGAGACACCCTGTTATTATAATTATAATAGGGCAGTTTTTTAAGTAAGGGCCTTTTTAGCTTTTAAATCCGTAGTTCACTTGTACACTGCTGTGAGGCTATTTGCCACTTACTGGTATCATTTATGTACAGAATGATACCATTTGCAGCTCTGTAGCAGATGTAATTGCTTTGTGTATTTAATTTTTTTTTTTTTTTATTGAATCTCCCGCCTCATACGAGATAAAGTCAGTGATATGTTTCTTGTGGTCAAGAAACATATCCGATGCTGTCATTCATCGTCAGATGACTGAGGTTTGTGATCTTAGTGCAATTATAGCGGGGAAAGTGTAGAAATAAGCTAGGGCCTAGGGAGTTAAAAAATGGCCATGAAAATATTCATCTTGGAAGGAGTTGCCTTTTTGGTGGGTACTCACACAGAAGACTACAAAGGGAAAAGGATTTCATGGCCATTATACACTCCATAACCCATTTCCGTGCTTTTGCATTAGAAGGCAATAGCCTTCAGCCATCTTGCAATGAATATCGGCATCGGATATGTTTCTTTTAATGTAATCACTGACCTTCACTTACACGCGGTGGGAGATTCGATAGTTTAAAGTTTTAAAAACACACAGCAAAGCGTACACGCCAGCTACAGAGCTGAAAATGGTTTCATTCTGTTCACAAATGATGCCAGTAAGTGGCGAAGAGCCTCAATGCGGCGTACAAGCTAACTAAGGATTTATACCATAGACTAATAACACAAGTAGACTCCTTATCCCATTGTAAATTGTCTAGTTTATGTACGCCCACACTGATCGCTGGGGTAGACAGTGCTTTACTATTTGGTTATATAACTAGGAGACCAGTTATTGGTTATGATTATATCGTTTTATTTGATTAAATGAGATTTTAAATTACTGAAATAACAAGAAACAGATTGTAAACAAAACAAAACCTCTACAGTTGGACGTAGAGAACTAACAATAAAATTAGCTTCAGCTGTTCCATAAGGATGAAAAATCTACTGAGTATGTTTTATCTACGTTTATACTTAAAAACAGCCCTCAAAAAAAAAAAAACTTCCTAGTATTTATATATTTGCGATATAATGCTACTGTCGCCTGATATTTTCATAAAATATATTAGGCCTATTAACTTTAAGTTATTCTGTTTCAGGTAGCAAAAGACTTAAGAAGGAGATTGGCATTGGGTGCATGTATCAAGACAGAAACTTGGTATTTCATTAACGCGAACGTTGAACACAACCATGAAATACTGAAAGAACAATTACCAATGCATCAAGAACTGAAGTCAAAAGTTGAAGAACTGGTTGAAAATGGTGTTACATCCATTCCAGAAATCAAGACACAGCTAAATGAAAAGGTCAAAGAAATGTTTAAGGACAAACCCCCTCCAGATGATATAAACACTTCTTTTTTTCCAAAACATTCAGTAATTTACAACTGTGTGTACAGAAATTTCTTTTCCTCAAAGGACAGCAGTTTAGATCAAGAGGCTATTGAAAACAAAAGAGAAATCTGGAAAAATTCGATTAGAACTAAACGTCGGTCACCTGCACCTAAAAGAAATAACCTTGTTCTTCTCAGAAAAAAGTTGAAACTGATGTTAGAGTTGTCATATAAAATAGAAGATGGGGAATATTTGGAAAAAATATTGACGGATCTGGCATCAATAAAAAAAGAACTTAGCAGCCATCAAAAGAAAGGGGTAGTCGTACCAAACAAAACTAGTTGTAAAAAAAGAAAAAAACTTAAATTAATAACCACAAATGTTCCTTCTTCTGAACCATCTTTACTGGAAAAAACTCCTCTATCGACAGAAGATCAACAATATGAAGTGCAACAATATGAAGAACAGCAATATGAAGTGCAACAATATGAAGAGCAACAGTATGAAGAGCAACAATTTGAAGAACAGCAATATGAAGAGCAACAATATGAAGAGCAACAGTATGAAGAGCAACAATTTGAAGAACAGCAATATGAAGAGCAACAATATGAAGAGCAACAGTATGAAGAGCAACAATTTGAAGTTATGTATGTTGTAGAAAATGGTGATTTGTTTCACTCTGATTTGAACTATTGTGAAGTAAGTATAGATGGCTGATAACCACGAGTTTCTCTCACTATTATTTCTAAGATTGTACCTTGAAAAACAATAAACTTTTTTTACAGTCATTGTATTTGTTTTTTGTGTTATTTATTTTAGAAAATACAGTTTTCATGGGTCATTCAAATACTGACAAGAAAGTATATTAGTTTTATCGTGCTTCTTTTAGACTTGTAATTTTGACAGCCATGTTAAATTAGCCAATTCATGTTTCCATTATTTGCCGGAATTGGTAATTTTTACGATTTCTTCTCATACAATCTCTCTGTTGTTAATACATTAATTCGCAAACACAGGATTTTTTCTCGGATGACATTTCATGATAATCAAAATTTATTTAAAACACAACACATATAAATATCTATGAAAGTGACATCAAAACACATCAAAAATAAAATACAATCACATAATGAAATACCCCCGCCGCAGCAAACCTGCTGACTAAGCGAATTTCCATTTGTCTGAATTGATTTTCAGTTAAATATATTTTAATAACATTAGGTTTAAAGAGTACCTAGGTTTGCTGCTACAAGGAAACTAATAAAGTGTGTTTTTGAGTAAAATATTGATAGCTTAGTACAAAGTAAATAAATTTGCCAAGTTTTATCAAAATATTTTCATAAACAAGCAAACTACAACATTTGACAATATTCTCCATATGAATAACATGGGAATTTTAAATTGACAATTTTTTTAAATTTTCTCCGTTACTAATAATCGAACAAAAATACTTTTATATACTAAATTATTTGTTTTTTAAGCTCTTTAAAAAGGTCTAAAGAGAAATTGGGAAATTTTGTGTTTTGAGGGTCAAAAGTGAGAAAAACCTATTTTTACCCCATAAAACCCCCCGTAAAGCCCCGTTCCCATGGTCCGATCGTGCTGGTTCGCGAACTCATTCAAGTTTATCCCGCTTTACACCTTTAAACCAAATTTCATCAAAATCAGACAAAAATTACTCAAGTTATCGCGTTCACGGACGTATATTGTTTTTGGCCTCTGGGGACATCAAAATGAAAAAGTAAATCGGTCCCGTGTCTAGGTCTTACTGTGCCACCTACGGTAATAACTACTTCCCTATAGGGAAATTCGCTAAAAACTGATTTGATTTTTACTCCCGAACACTCTAAATGAAACTGCTTAAATACACTATCCTATTTCATCAGTCATCGTTGTATTTGTAACTAAACTGATAAGTAAACAAACAGAAAAAGTAATATTAAAATGACAGTAGAAAAACAGGTTATGTTTATGAATCATTTTATGTTAGGTAAACTTGTATTTAAAATATATGGAAACTTTAAACCAATAGAGCAAAGTACATTAAACTGAGTGTGACAAAACTTATTACTTGACTCCTATGGAGAATTCCCTTTAATTTGACACCTCAATCAACAAAATCGGTTCATAAATAAAAGAGTTTTTTTGCTGTAGCTGTTTATAAGCATAGACAAAAATAATTAAATATAGACCGTCAGCTATGCTGCGGTTACCATAGGTTCTGGCGCACACCGCTTGGAGCGCCATGTAGTTACGGCGTACGGGCTACGTAAACTACAGCGGTGTGCGCCGGAACCTATGGTAACCATAGTAACCGCAGCACGGCTACCAGTCTATATTTAACTCGTTTTGTCTATGATATAAGAAATTCCTTACGGAATTAGAGTAATAGATTTATGAGTTATTACAATAAGTATTGACTATATCTAAAGTGGTAATACATCAAATAATATACTTACAAGTTAATCTTGCATAATATTTAATAAAATATATATTACAATCATGTATAATTAGTTAGGAATGAAAACTCGTATACTATGTACTGAAAGTTTGAACTACATTTGCAGAAGTTTGCAGAGGTAATTGTTCATCCCTGTAACATAAAATAATAAATGAGAGTTTAGATACTGTTAGAAAGCTATTTTCCTGTAGATATGCAGATTACCTTTATAAATTGAAAAAGGCACAAAAAATGAACTTATTTTTTTAAACAACAAGGGCTTTATGGGTTGCCATGCTGGTGACGAAATAACAACGAAATATGAACAGAAAATCAAAACTCAAAATAAAAGGAATAAATTCCAATCGCGTGCTTTATTTACAGCGTGGAGTGAAAATAGAGAGGTCTGTACATTACATATTTTTGGTTGAGTTTTCGACCACTGGACGACCTCTAGTCTTTATTATTTTTAGAAATTTACATTTTCCTAAATTGTTTCCACCCTGTTTAGATAATTCATAAATCAAGACACTGCAATTTGTTATTATTTTGACTACAAGATACAAAACATTTACAAAAAATCAATTACGTCGCCATTTTTGTATCCAATTGGATACGGTCATATTACAGCTTTGGGCTCAACGGCCTATAGCATCGGTTACCGCATTCTACTGAATTGAGTTACCCCTAGTAAAATCAGTAACTTGTCAGTAGTGTCTGTGACCTCTTTGTACAATCAGTGGACTTATGTGAACCATCAGTAACATAATAACCTATCCATGACTTAGGTAAAAGCACCATTAAAATCACTGACTCATCAGTAACTTTTTAAGTATGTCCATAAACCCTCCTCACCGCCCTAAAATCATTGACCTATCAGCAACTTGTGGACGCCCTGGTAAAACCAGTAACTCTTTCATACTTTCATGACCCCCAAGTAAAATCAGTAACTTGTCAGTAACCAGTTTGTTCCTGACAACTCACCCTGTCCACTTGATGACCTTTCTATCACACCAGACGTATTGTCCCTTCGGCACATCTGGAGAGACTGGTAGCAAGGCAAGGTACAACGGAGCATCTGCACCTGGAGCACAAGAACACATGCTTTACCCATCTGCGTGAGGAATGGAGGCATCAATATAGTTAATAATTAGTAGAATTACTTAATAAGGAATTTGCAAGTTTCAGATGATATGTATGAAGAACTGCAAATTCTCATCCTATGTTAATTTTGCTACATTTATTTTTATTTGCATTTTCTATACCGTTGCATATAAACAAGTTAAAAAACAAATTTCTTTAAACTTAAGATCAGCAAAATCTTAGCCTACTAGTTTGTTACTTAACATATCAGAAGCTTGTTGATGGTTCAGAACTGGATGCAACTGTCCTTAACTAATGGGCTAAACGGTACTGGCTAAAGAAGTCAACCAGCTGGTTTTAGTAACAAAGCTATAACCTCACCCACTTAAGACTTACGCTCAACACATCTTCATTGTAAAATATGCACCCTTGTGTGTAAGTACTAGCCTAGGAAAAACTCAAATTACCTTTTATCCATACGAACCTTGTTCAATAGTGAGAGGTCCCTTGTAACTGGTCATGTCCGTGGCAACGTAACCGGGATGTACAGAGTTGACCACGATGCCAGGTCGAGAGTCTGTGTCGAACTGACGTTGTTGGATGATGGTTAAGGCTGAGACACCAACCTTGGACACATTGTAGGCAATGTAGCCCCAGCCATCGTCCTTGTTAGTGCCTGCGGCTGCTGACCTTCACGCAAACACAGCTTGGCTACAACCTTTACAATGGATAGAATCAGACCATTCCCGTCAAGTTGTGTTCAGTTTATACTCTTACAAAAAATGAATATTTAATTAAGCCCAAGACAGAGTGCTGTCAATTACTAACTTAGGTTGTATACATCATATTAAAAAAAATATATAGGCTACCTAGTGTGGTCCTGAGCCAAACTTCCATCATATATACTGTATTCATGGAATCATTATAAAAATATTCCATTATCATTATAAATGAGTATGTAATCCATGATATTACAAAAAACTAAGAAAAATGACTTAACATTTACATCCTTCAGTGAGTGGCTCATCAACTATGTTCTTTTGTTAATAAAAGATTTGCTACACATGGTCGGTATATATGGGATCTTTATCTTAACCAACAGGGGTAGGTCAAAACCATTTATAACACTTCATCCAAGTACCGGTGGTAGAATTATTGCGCAGAAGACATAGATGTGATGTTCTCCCATCACAATCTTAACTTAATCATAATCTTAGTCATATTTTCTACTTTGTATCTTAGTCATATTAGCGAATTTCCCATATAGGGAAAAGCTATTACCGTAGTACTCATGGTAAGACCTGGACGCGGGACCGATTTTTTTTTCGTTTTGAGGTCCCTAGAGGCCAAAAACACCATCCGTTTAAATTCATATATATATATATATATATATTTATATATATATAAATAAAGATTAAACAACCTTATATATTCATATATATATGTGTCCGTTAGCACGATAACTCGAGCAAAAATGATCCGATTTTGATGAAATTTGGTACAAACGTGTAAACCTACGTTTATTCGAACGAGTTAGCGATCCAGCATGATCGGACCATGGGAACGGGGGTTTACGGGGGGTTTTATGGGGTAAAAATAGGTTTTTCCAATTTTTGACCCAAAAGACATAAAATTTAGCAATTTCTTTCCAAATCATTTTGTAGAGCTTAAAAAAACAAATAATTTAGTATATTCAAGCGTTATTATACGCCTAATGGTTACGGAGAAAATTCCAAAAAATTTTAAATTTAAAATTTCAATGTTATTCTTATGGAGAATAAGTAAACTGTTGTAGTTTGCTTGTTTATGAACATATTTTGATCAAATTTGGAAAATGTTTTTATTTCTTACTAACTATTAACATTTTACAAAAAAAAACAGTTTTACCCTCCCTGATGCAGCAAACCTAAGTACTTGTTAAACTAATTCTATTTAAATAGGGAATAAATGTTATATTTTTAAGTAGACATTTCAGTGTAAATCTAATCAGTCAAATGGAAATTCGCTTAGTCTGCAGGTTTGCTGCAGCGGGGGTATTAAATATTTTATGTTTGCTATCCCAGTTTTATGACCTTGAATTGTATTAGACTCACCTTTGTTGTAGGTAAGATGTTTGTGCCATCTTACTCGGATGATACAAATATCTTACCTACAAGAACTCAGACAACAATGGTAAATCTAACATTTTAAATAGTTAAATATCAATTGACATTCTTATCAAGAAACTATAACCATAAACTTACTTACTTAACAAACTCCTTCATGAGTACGTTCAGCTGATCTACTGTGAGGTTCGGGTCACTGAAGCGCTTCCTGAGAGTTTCCGACGGAATCTTACTCAGATGGCCACACAAACTGGACAAGTTGACCACTCTGGCGTTGGGACGGAGCAGCGGAAATAAAGCCTCGCACACATCTAGCAGGCCAAAGTAGTTCACCTTCACAGTCACTTCAGCTATCTCACTGAATGGTTCGGTAGCATCATACTACAACATTTTATATGTAATTAACAGTCTTCGCTCCATTTTGGCAACAGACTAAAACTTATTTTAGAAATTTGATATTGATCATTTTTATAGCCCTAGCCTTAGGAGTAATTAGTAGACGAACTTAGCGTTGCCCTAATGATGGGGAGCGAGCTAGTCTAGTGGTTAGAGCGCGGGACTCCGGTTCAAACCCCGCCAAATCACCAATGGATTTTATCTAAGTGATATTGCCGTAACCCCTAGGTCTAGCCTGAAGTAATGTGAAAAACTATTCCGGGCTGGTGCCTAATGTCCTAGGACAAAAACAAAATTATTACCTACCTTGCTTATTTATAAAGTCAGAATAATACATCCCAAAATCCTGGACTAATTAACTCTTTGGCAATACTAAAACTGCATTTTGGTTGAAAGAAATTTTATGTACTGTATGTAGTTGTAATTAATTGAATAAGTTTTTTATTTAAAGAGACCATTGAAACTGATGACCTTGTTCTTCCCGACTTAAACATTTGGTGAAAATTCTGTTAGTGAGAGGGAAATAGTTTTGCTGGTAACAAGGTAATCCATTAAGGTAAGCCTGCTAACTTAACAAAAGAGATCAAAATTATGATACATTATTTATTTCTTATAATTTACAAATAAAACAATAAAATATTAAATAGAGGACATCTGTATAAAGAAAAAAAGGCCTCATTAGGTATACATTTAAATTATAAATTTATCAGTACTTAATAATAGTTTTCTATCTTCACCCTCACCCTAAAACATATTCCAGCATTGTTAACTAACACATCAATCCCACCATGTTTCTTTTTCATAAACTCTGCAAATGTAGAAATGCTTTTCTTGTCGGTGATGTCCAATTGGTGAAACTCAGGTTTGAATCCCAACTGCAACAATAATTCAAGATTCTTAAGAGAATGAGGAGATAAAATCCTATTGAAAACATCAGCACAATTTAGGGAGAATTTTATATGTGTTATTTGACACTAGGTCTAGGTTTTATGGTAACAAGATCAAGGTTTATTACTTATTACCTTATTCCCATTTTCTTGGCCATTGACCCATTATATAACGGGAATCTCAAAGGTCAGCGTGAAACAACTTATTTTTATTTCCCGCACATATGTAAAAAACTCACTACAAAAACTGCAGTTTAGTTGCTCATGGCGGTCGGTATGCTTCTATTAACTATGCTCGCCCAAACCACCTTCCAGGAATTCCTTTATTCACTAATTAGGGGTTTTACGGAAGAAATTTCCTGTAGTGGTTTTAAACTTTCTGCTTTCAAGGATCTTTGTGGCTGCTGGGAGTTTGTTGAAGAAACGGATGACACTTCCAGGGTATGAGTCTCGGTTTTTACTGAGGCGTGTGTGAAGTACATTGAGTTGATTCTGGCCTCTTGTATTGTTTGTGTATGTCAGCCCTGGCCACCAGGCCCTGTTCATTGTTCTTTATTTCCAGCATGCATGCCCATATCTAGTGGCTGTAGATGGTCAAGATGCCCAGGTTTTGGAAAATGGGTTTGATAGACATGGTTTAGCCCCTGAGCTGAATTGATGACTATAATATAATTGTACAATTACCTCGTCACAGCTCCGTAGTTTCCGTATATATTACGGCCGTTTCGGCATCAAAATGCCATCCTCAGATACATACATTCACCGGATTTGGCGTCGTCAAACTTGAAACACACACGTAACACGATAACAAACATTTAAAACATACAAAACGAAAGACAGGCCTGTCGCGCACATGATGAGTACGTGTACGGAAGCTGACTGGACAACTGCTAGTTCGTTCCAGCCGTTGCAGTATTATCTCTTGGACTTTGATCCCTTGGCTTGCTTCGTTTGATAATGTTATTGAAAATAGTGTGAGATTTAAATTGTAGTTGGTCATTTAGTATGGATTCATTGTTGTTTTTTATTTTATGGGCATTATAAATCTCATATTCCTCGAGGGTGTCTAGTCTATTTCCATTAATACAGGCGTGCAGAATTTCTAAGCCATTGTCCAAATCAAGTAAGTCGTGATTATTGTCAACCAGGTGTTGTGCGAAAGTGGATTTTTGTTTGTCAGCTTTTCCGTTAGGGCGATGTTCTTTGTACCTAATGCTAAAGGAACGTCCTGTTTTTCCAATGTACGTACTCGGACAACTAGCGCATTTTATTTTATATACACCTGATTGGTCAGCTTTATTTTTATTAATCTTAGGTTTTAACTTATTTATAACTTTATTGCTGGTTCTGAAAGCTAGTTTGATTCCATGTTTTTTCAACTCATTCTTTAGGCAGTGTTGCAGGGGATGAGAATAATTTACGCAGACAAATTTCTTGTTTTGCTGGGTTAGATTCTGGTTTGGAGTTTGTTTATTTTTGTACTTCTTTACTAAGCTATCGACCATTTTAATGTCATACCCATTAGATAAAGCGATTTGCTTGATGATTTTGAGTTCTCTATTATTGTGCTTTATTATGGTCAATAGCTTAGTAAAGAAGTACAAAAATAAACAAACTCCAAACCAGAATCTAACCTAGCAAAACAAGAAATTCGTCTGCGTAAATTATTCTCATCCCCTGCAACACTGCTATCTCACACTATTTTCAATAACATCATCAAACGAAGCAAGCCAAGGGATCAAAGTCCAAGAGATAATACTGCAACGGCTGGAACGAACTAGCAGTTGTCCAGTCAGCTTCCGTACACGTACTCATCATGTGCGCGACAGGCCTGTCTTTCGTTTTAAAATGTTTGTTATCGTGTTACGTGTGTGTTTCAAGTTTGACGACGCCAAATCCGGTGAATGCATGTATCTGAGGATGGCATTTTGATGCCAAAACGGCCGTAATATATACGGAAACTACGGAGCTGTGACGAGGTAATTGTACAATTATATTATAAATGGGTTTGCTATGCTCATGGTGGTGGCTACTTGTTATAGCTTATTACAGCTATCTTCTGGAGCTTCAAAACTGTGGCTGCTCCAGCAGCGTGTCCCCAAAGATGTATGCTGTATGAGATGTGGCAATGAAACATAGCATGGTACACCAGAACATGGTAGGAACCTGTAACACACTTCTTCAATCTCTTCAGAAGAAATATGACACGAGCCAGCATAGTGCAGACATGTTTGACATGATCGCTCCGGTCCAGTGTTGGGTCAAGGTAGAAACCCAATAGTTTAACACTCCCACCGATGTTGTTTGGGGTGTGTGACAGAGTGCAAGTCATCCAGTTTCCAGTTTGTCTAGGTCTCATTTAGCAGCAGTTTGTTTGCCCGGAACCACAGCTCTACATCTTTCAGATTATTTCTCGATTGCTCCACTGCAAGGATCGGTGTTTTTCCACTGGTATACAAGGTAGTATTGTCAGCGAAGAGCACAAGATTTCCATTCCACTCCAGGTCGTTAATGGCAATCAGGAAGAGAAGCCGCCCAAGAACCGAGCCCTGAGGGACTCCATGTAGAACCATCGTTTTCAGCGGATTTTGCATCCTTCAGATCAACACATGCTTGTCTTGCTCGTCTTCCATCACTTAGGTAGCTGCTGAGCATGGAGAGAGCTTTACCTCTGACCCCCAAATCGAAAAGCTTATCAATGAGAATTACATGAGGGTCACGGTTGAACACTCGACTCAGATCACACAGTGTAAGAGATACTGAGTCGCTGTCTTCAAAAGTGTTTACGATTTCATCAGCAATGACTGAAACTGGTCCAGTAGTGGACCTACCCCTTCGAAAGTGAGTTACTGAAAAGGTTTTTTGACTCAAAAAGTAATTACAGATTTGTTCCTTGAGTACTTATCTCGAGAACCTTGCCAAGGATAGGTACCGAAGAGATAGGCTAGCCAGAACATTGGGGTCTTCTTTTTTGTATATTGGCACTGTCCATGCGATCTTCATGAGTGCAGGAAAGAACCCCTGCAGCAGGCTGTCATTGATAGCTAGGGTGAGGGGTGCATGTATTAATTTATTTATTTTCCAATAATAACATAACATCATATTCAGACAGGTGATTAGTCATTGTTACAATATTTTATAGTCTCTATACTAAAATTATTACTGAAATAAATTTCATATGCTGAGCCTTAGCATCTACACAGCTTCTATATATTCCTCCAATGAGAAGGCCTTCTCCAAAAGAAAGTTTTTTCACTTCTTTTTGAATTTAGGGAATGAATCAGTGTCCCTAATTGAAAAAGGTAATTTGTCATATATTGTTCGGCCCATGTACTGAGGAGATAATTGGAATTGATGACATTCGCTACTTCCTTAAGGAGCTTTGTAGACCACCCATAGTAGTCGCGGCTCATGGTGCTCTTAAGCCCACTTATAATCTTCCGGACCTTTTAATTTACTTTATTCCATGCAATCTTACTAAGGTAAGGCTGGAATTCCGGCATCCAGTCTTTCAAAATGTCCAAAGGGTCAGAGGGAGTATCAGGGATACTTTGGGAACTATGTCTGACACTGATGAAATAAAAAAGTTTTTAAATTCATCGGGTCTTGCAGCACAGCGCATTCCTGATGTGGGTGACCTGATTGAGTTTATGACGTCCCAGGCCGCTTTACATTGATTGTTCGAATGTTCAATGAATTTGACATTACCTGCTCTTCTCGCCTCCTCAACCTTTTGTTGTACAGCTTCTATGCTAGCAGATACCCAGCTTCATCTCCCCTGGCACGTAGCATCAGCATGAACTCCTTAAGTCACTAAGTGTTGGAGTGTACCAATCGGATATGCGAGGTCTTACGCTTTTCTTTGGTTTAGGCCTACCTGCCTTACTCACGGTTAATGCCCGCTTCTCCTTTACTGGGAACACGGTATCCAGGGTTTTCTGAAGGTGGCTAAAAAAGGAATCGAAAAACTGTCACCCTCTGGTCTACTAGTAATTATGTCATTCCAGACCGTTTCCTGAAGAAAAAAAACTTAATCCTGGGCAGGAAAAAACAAAAACACAAACTTTGAGACAACAGACAAACTATAGCTAGAGGTGGGTTAAAATAAGTTAAAAACAATCTAATCTACAACAGTACTTATTGCTTTGAGAAAATTATTTGTTGAATGGGTAATATAATAGGAGAAAATATGTTAAGGTAGCAAATAATAAGAAACAAAATGAAAGAAATGTCATCTTGTTTAAAGAAAAAGATCAACTAGCCTACAAACTTACCTTGTTGAGTTTCGCCACAGCTTCCTGTCCACTGTTTACATCCATTGCTGTCAGGTAAACGACCCCAGGAAACTTCTCACATAACCCTTTGACTATGCCATATCCTATTCCTTTTTGACTTCCAGTTACCTAAAACAAGTATGTTTTACTCCAAGGCTGAGAGTGTAAGCCTGTAGTTGATTTTCCACTTGATTAGTAACCCTTCAAGCGGCTGCACTTTACTTTAGGTCCTACACTCATTCAAATGAAAATATTGATTTTTAGATTGTTTAATTAGATATATCTAATCTATAATATTGCAAATGCCATCTCAATTGTACACACATAACTTATTTTGTAAAAAGGTGCAATCCGTTGGGAAATAAATAAATAAATAAATAAATAAATATCGTTTGGTTAGTTAGGTTAGGTTAACCTTACCTAACTAACCAAACGATATATCGAATGAAACAATCAATTAATCGATCGATATTTTCATTCGAATGAGTGTAGGACCTAAAGTAAAGTGCAGCCCTTCAAGCATCTAGCTAATTTCTTGCTTGACCTTAATTTTATGAAGAAATGTTCAAGTACTAAATTAGGTTAGGCTGTTGTAATCGCAGGTATGACACCCGGAACTTGTACTGTGTATAGCCTACTTACATGGTACTTTTCAAATGGCATTGGCCTTGGCTGCACTTTAGTTTACGTCCTACACTCATTCGAATGAATATATCGATCAATATATCGATTATTTCATTTGATATATCAAGTTTGGAATTAATTAATCGATATATCGAATAATCTATACATAATTTTTTTCATTTGAATGAGTGTCCCCTAGGTAAACTAAAGTGAAGCCTTGGCCTTTTCATGATGTTTTTTTGCTAATATAAAGCAAATTTGTGCTAAAATCAACAGGTAGTGGATCCACAACTTGGGTCTATTTAGCCTATATTTGCTTAGGCTATACAATTTAGGCTCTAAATGTAGGCTAGGAGAAAAATATAGGCCTAATAAATTTTAAAAAGTACAAACCACGGCTGTTTTGACAGTTTCCATATTAGGCCTATACCTATTGTTTTTCTTTCGGCTATTAAAAGAGGTTCTATTTTATGATATAAGTTACAACACTTAACACTCGGGTTATGTAACTTAGCACACTTAAAAAGAAAGTTACTAAGTAAGGATTACTGATAAGATAACAATAAATCACTAATCGACCGACGTCCAAAATAAACTTATAAGTTCAAGCTACCAAAGCAAATGCAAATCCCAGTTTTCTTTTTTGACAAGCAAAATCAACAACTTTGTAACTTTGTTAGCAAACAAAATCCTAAACCTAAACCTAAACCTAGCAGACTAGAGCAGCAACAACTTTGAACTTTGTTTTGTTATTATTTTACTGCTTTGCTTTGCTTTGCTGTAGCATGAGCAGACCAACAGCAGACAGGAAAATCGAGTGACAAGCAAGATAAAGAGTCAAGAGGCGGATAGCACAGGTTTTAAGCGGGTAATAGAACAACTTAAATAGTTTATATGTGTAATCATGATTGTTACTGAGCATTCACTTATTGTGTAAAGTTATCTGTTTAGATAAGTAAAAGAAACCCCATAGATAAAACATATTCCCTTAGGAAAAACAAGTTCTCTATAGCATTATATTTCACATAGCATTGACTGACTATGTTTAATCAATAGTTAAACCAATGAATCTTCCTAGATCCTTGGAGTTCATCAATCAGCTGACCAATTAATTGTCCAACAGAAGCTATTTTTTATTTCATTGTTGTTGTTTATGTCCATTCCAAATTGATGGTCACTGAGACTGTTGAATGAAATTGGTTTTTATGAATTTTTGATTGTGAGTAACAAACAATTACAACAGTCTCAACAAATTGCTTGGTATACCCATGGATTTAAGTGTGGTTTTGTCAAAAGCCTGTACAGACGTTTTTCGAATAAGTGTTGATGAAGACTTTCGCAGAGAATTCCTGAGTATTCTTAAGGTAGGCCTTAACCTTACATATTTTTAAAATATTTGGTTTTTCTTTCCCGATATGTTCGTTTGGCTGTTCTACACAGCAAGTTTTATTGATTGAGGTCTCATATTGAAGGTATGCACGCACAGATTTAATTCACATCAAGCATCGGCATACATATTAATCTACAGTGTCCCACTCTGCTTATACATAAACAAAATTTGCTCCCCATGTATTTCTTATGGGAGTTAAATTTTGGTTTTCTTTGCCGAGTTCGTTTGGCTCTTCTACCTGACCGATTTTCACGATTGAGGTCTCGAATTGAAGGTATGCACGTACCTACAGATTTGCCATCAAGCATCGGCATAAATGTATCTATAATCCCACTCGGTTTAATACGTTTAAACGAAATTTGCTCCCCATGTATTTCTTATGGGAGTTAAATCTGGGTTTTCTTTGCTGAGTTCGTTTGGCTCTTCTACCCGACTGATTTTCATGATTGAGGTCTCGAATTGAAGGTATGCACATACAGATTTGCCATCAAGCATTGGCATAAATGTATCTACAATCCCACTCGGAGTATTATGTAAACGAAATTTACTCCCCATGTATTTCTTATGGGAGTTCAATTTGGGTTTTCTTTTCCGAGTTCGTTTAGCTCTTCTACCTAACCGATTTTCATGATTGAGGTCTCAAGTTGAAAGTATGCACACACAGATTTCACATCAAGCATTGGTATATATATTTATCTAACTGTATTAGTCGAAGTCGACCAAAAGACATAAATTTATTTTTTTAAATTCTTTCTTCAATTTAATATTTATTTCACCAGTTATATTTATATTTAATCCTATATATTTTGGTGTAATAAATAACCTTTCTTTAGTGAATACGGGTAGGGTACCGGTACCGGCTTTCATTTAAAAGTTAAATGAGTTATTCAAATTGGACTAGTTTAGCCACTTCAGTACCTACCTAGGTATGTTATCTCAGTTTTTCTTAAAAATTTCTAATGAACAAAATTATTATTCAAGCTTACTGGTAACTTATTTCTCAACACAAATAACATGAGGCTAAAAACTGAACATTTTAGCTGCAATATAGGTACTTTATTCAAGATTTTGTTAGAATAACTTTATGTGTTTTCATAAATTTCTGTATCAAATTAAAAACATACTTATTATGTCAGGTTACTAATGGAACTGATGCCCAGGACGTTTTGGCAAATAAATTGAAATCTCTGAGACAAATACCTGCAAGAATTGCCACATCTAATACTCCAACAGCAAGTGGCTCAAGCAGTTCCTGTGAAAAGGTAGGCCTAATAATCAGTTCACAATGGAAATTAATTGTGGTATTCTGTCCACAACCACCTGGTTATCTTATATTAACTTAAATTTAATATTAGTTAACTTAAAATTGAGGCATAACCTAAAAAAAAATCTAACTTATTATGAGTTTTGTATTGTTTCTAACTGTATTAAAGAAATATCCAATGTCTGTTTTAATTATAAGAAAATAATTAAATTAGTCTTTGTAGTGTTCAAAACACGAGTGAAAGTGGGTCTATACATAATATTCTCGCTCATATAAAGTGCTCGATAAATCTCACACTTCAAACATATTATTGTCTCAAATTATGTAATGACTCACTTTCTACACCTGTTTGGAACATTTCATGTGTTTTAAGTTAATAGTTATTTTAATAGGTTAATAGTTATTTTATAGTTGATAATGTGACAGGTTGCCGAATGAAACAACGAAAATGTGCTACGAATAAATAATTTATTATGCTTAAGACAAAACAATAATATGTAGCTTCCGACTTGTTGTATAGGCCTAATTTATCTATTTTATAAAATAAGTTACTGGAGAACATAGCCTCCCGAGGAGGCTATGGGGAAAGGCGACGCAGAACAGAACTTTACATGACCGACCGAATTGAATTTAGAATTTAGACTAACTAGACTGAGTGCTCTCTGTCCATCACCCAGAGTTGGGCGTGGAGGGGAAACAGCCAATCACGTTGCGGCCATGCCGCGTGACGTCAGTGCAAACACTGGACAGTGCTGCGGCCTAACGATTCATCAGGGCGTTAGGCAAACTGTAGCTGCGCATTAACTGATTTCATCGAGCGACTTGCTGAGCTGTATCAGCAAATTCCAGCCATGCGCGTTACACTTTCCGAGAACGTTGGCCCGGCCTAGCGCTGAGCCATGCTGACGGAATATTCCATGGTGAGGCAACTGGCTGACGCAGAAAGTTAGGAGGTTAACAGTCCAATATTACATACCCTCCTTTTATATTTGAAATAACAAGTGTTGAACTGACAAGAGTTTCTTGAGGGTGTAGCAAAAACCTCCCCAACTGATATGTAATGGGTCTGGGAATTTTTTGGGGCCGTCACAATAAAACAATCTGTACTTTTTATTGTAATTGACTTAGCCAATGCATTAAGTTAAGTTATAATGTAAATCTGGCCAAATAAATGACTTATGACTTATTTTACATTGAGAAAATATTCATCACAGGTTTTATTTCTAAGATTACAGGAGTTATAACTGGCGAAGTGAATGATCTGGTTAATGAACCAACTGTTATTGCAAATGGACTTCGATTGAGCAAAACATCAAATATCAGTGAAGCAAGCCAAACAATCGTTCAAAATGAGGAAGAGGATGAGTTTGGATTTCAGAACATTGCATACAGAGTTATTGGGGCAGCCATTTGTGTAAGTTTATAACTTTTGTTTAGGGGTGTTTTGTAGAATGTACATTTTATGAAACAAAATAACACTCAGTTGATCAATCAGTAATAAAGTTATTCATGTTTTTTTTTTTATTTTGTAGGGTAGTCTGGCTATTTGTTAGGAACATTTGACTTATTTTCCTTACCTGAGTAGGATTTAGCAGGTTTTCAAGAACCTTTGTACTCTTTGAGCGAAGAGAAGATCTTTGGAATCGGCTTTATTGAATAAAGCTTTATTATATCTATAAACATTGTTTTTATTTATTGTTTTATTTAAAACCATGACAAGTGATATATCGAAACTGACTTACACTGCTATGAAAGCAATCCTAGTATTTTTAAGTACCGGTAATTATATTTTTTAAACAGATAATCGGATTTTGACTTTTTCATTTACTAGTTGTATTGTAGCCTTATTTCTCCATATATGCTCCCTGTCTTTTTTGGAGCATATATACGAGTGAAAAATAACAAAACAAATTACCAGTTTTTACTTATAGCACTAAAAGATGTGAGACCATTGACATGAAATGGTGCTACACTAAAATGCATTTGTGATTTGTACATAGCAAGCTGCAGATTCAGACCGAGTTGCTGATTTGAACCGTCAAACCTCTGTTGAATCAAACACTGAACTAAGCCGATCCATCCTTCAAGAAAACCATGGAGCTATTAATACTTCTCAAATGGAAATTGATAACACCTGTTCTCTTGTTGAGGTAAGCTGGGTAGCTGAGTGCATGGTTATAGTAACTATCAGAATATCACCTGTTTGATCATGAAAAAAAATCAAAATCGTTGTAATCTTATCACTGGATCCATCTGTCCTTGATCTTGATCATATGGCTTGTAAAGAGGTGTACTTGTTAAAGAACCAGATGTTTTTCAGCATCAAAAGCTACACAGAACATCTAATTCCATTACCATGTATACAATAGTTATTGGTATAACTAGAGTGCAAAGGCACTTTGCGCTCGGATTACACATTATGTTTTTCCAACAGTTTCTATAAAGCATATAAATAATTAGTCTTTCAAACACTATACAACCCGTTTTTAGGTAAACCTAATCCAAGAGTTGAACGAAATGGGAAATGCTGATACCGAACCGAAACCAACGAACAACTTTTTCACTGCAGCCATAGCACTTCATTTTGGCCAATAACAATTCATGATCAATAGAGTGAAATGCTTGGGAATAATCTAGAATAGCTAATGTGCTGTAGAGGCCTTTATCTTTGGCATCGAATAGATCCGCAAACATATTAGTCAGTGCAGTACAAGTACTGTGGTTTTTTCTAAACCCTGACTGTAGCTTAGGCAATATATCAAAGTTGTCTAGAAATGAAGCAATTTGTTTAGTTACTATCTTTTCCTTTATTTTTGACATTGCAGGTAACATGGAGATAGGTCTTAAATGCTGGACGGTTTTTAGCACAGCAACCTTAGGCAATGGTTTCACACGGGCAATCTTCCAACTTTTAGGAAATACACCAGAGGCCAGACTCATGTTTATCAAATGTGTTATTGCTCCTATTGCATATGGGCTAACAGATCTTATCATTTATCGATATACTATCAACACCTACAGCTTTTGATTTTATTGAGTTCATTGCCTCCTTAACATCATTTTCTGTAATCATTTTAAATTCAAACTTATCGTTATCTCCATTTAGAAAATGACAACAAAGTTCAATTAACCGAAAACAAAATATCTCACAAATTTTGCAGTCCTGTTAAGAGGTAGGCCCTACCTTTTTTTATGGTATGGAGAAATAACATAGGGCTGTCAAGAGGTCCCTTTTCTAAAATGTGATTTTTACGACATGCTTCGATAAATTATTTAATTCTTGATTATTATTAATTATTAAATTAATTAATAATTATTAATAATAATTTTTTGATTAATTCTTAATTAATTATTTAATTCAATTATTATTAATTCTTAATTCATTATTTAATTCAATTATTTAAATGTAAACTTCCGCGAATTAAAGCAAAAATTAGTATTGCCTCCAAAGAAGACATTATAAGCTTTCTTTTGATACCAAAATCGGTTTTTATTCAAAAAACTGTTCTTATGCGTATTTGAATTTTCAAAATAAATTTTTTCTCAAAATGACTCTAAGTCTATAGTCTTCTAAGTCCTATAACTTTAACACCAACAAAAAATCGTAGATGCATGGGACTTGCACCAAGTGATTTGGAATTTAATAAGGAATTCAAATATATATATATATATATATATAACTCAAAATCAAAAATTCACTTCCTTTTTGCCTTCGAGATTACAAATATTGTAGTCGGTTTTTTATACTTTCAACTCTATAGTTAATTGATCTTTAAGTCAACTTAACCTAGACTTTGTTTTCAGCTCATAAAATACAGACAAAATTTAACATAACACTTTGTACTTTTTCAGGTTGCACAGGTTCCCTCAATCAAAACAGCTGGAAATCCGCAAAATATTGTACTAGAACATCAACAAGATGAATTAATCAAGTCAAACCACACACCCACACTGGTAAATGACGATGAAGAGGACGAATTTGGTTTCTGGGATTTGGTCAATGACAACTGTATTTCAAAAGAGGTACTATTAAAAGTAATTAATTGTGCATTATATGATGATACTTGGTTTAAATCTCATTTTTGTTTTGTTTATAAATTGAGTTGTTTATATAATACGCATCCAAAACAACATTACATATTCTAATTTGTTAGGATTTGTTATACTTTCAACTCTATAGTTAATTGATCTTTAAGTCAACCTAACCTACACTTTGTTTTCAGCTCATAAAATACAGACAATTTAACATAACACTTTGCACTTTTTCAGGTTGTACAGGTTCCCTCAATCAAAACAGCTGGAAATCCGCAAAACATTGTACTAGAACATCAACAGAATGAATCATTCAAGTCAAACCACACACCTAGACTGGTGAATGACGATGAAGAGGACGAATTTGGTTTCTGGGATTTGATCCATGACAACTGTATTTCAAAAGAGGTACTACAGGGTGATTACCGAGAAACACATGTTTTTTTTCAAATAACGAGTACTCGGGCAGTTCAGAGAAAAATATATTTATGAGTGGAAAAACAGTGTACACCACATGCAATTTCAGAATAAAATTACTTAAAATTTAGCGTTTAAAAATTACATCTCTTAAGGTGGGCGCCTTCTGCTTGGATACAGTGTTGAAGTCGTTCCTTAAAACTTGCTACGGATTCTGGGATTCTGCTAACATATCTCTAGGAATGGCGTTGATTTCCTGGTGGATAACTTATTAAGTTCCTGTATTGTGTTTATGGTTTGTTCATGTAAAGTAAACTCTAGATTTCAAAACACCCCTTAGAAAGAAATCTGGAATTGTAAGATCCGGTGAGCGAGAAGACCAAGTGACATCACCAAAACGTGAGATAACTCTTGTAGGGAATGTTTGCCGAAGGAATTCCATACTGATGCGAGCTGTATGGGCTGTCATTGTGTCACAAAAATGTACACCTCTTATCTGCTTGACTCAATTGATTACATATACTGCCAGCTTGAAAGGATGTAATTTAAGTTCTTTGACCAAAATCTTTCTCACAGTGGACGGGCGAAGTCCGGGAGCAGATACCCGCTTCCGAATTGAGCGGCTATGACTCTGAACTGTTGCAAGGCGCACGCGTTAACTGTCTCAGGGATACTCTGTCTTTGCCGGTCCAGGAGGTTGCTTCTTAAGCAAAGATCCCGTTGTGTTAACATTATGTATCTAACGCAATATCATGCTACGATCAGGGATAGCACCATGTCGTGCAATGTTAAAATGTGCACGAAAGTCTTGCCGAGTCTGAGCTGAGTGACTTATTCACCATTTGCGTAATATCGTCGCATGAAAAACGTACGATGCTCAAGGTTCCAAATCTCGGGAACAATTGAAACTGCACACTTTTCCCTCCACAGCACAACAACTTCCGGCCGTAGCCGAACTATATTCCTCGTATACTACGCAAGTAAAAAACATGCGTTTCCCAGTAATCACCCTGTATTAAAATTAAAGTAATTAGTTGTGCATTGTGTGATGATACTTGGTTTTAATCTCATTTTTGTTTTGTTTGAGAATCCTTTGTATAAATATTGATAATATTCTAATTTTTAAGTTGCATCACACATACATGTGTATCCTCTTTCATTCCGGAATGAACAAGACTCACCATGTCTTCATTTTCTTTCTTTGTTCTTCTTTCGCCATGTGCTATCTCACTTCTTCTCTATATCCCTCTCATTCTCATCCATCTACCTTGTACTGGATCTTCCTCTCAGTCTGCTTCCTTCTATTGCCATCAATTAATTCTATTATCCTCAATGCCATTCGTCCAGATCCAAATAATCATTTTTCTTTTTCCACCTTTTCTCTTGGTTTTCTTCTACCACCCCTTTTTAAATTATAACTCTGACCCACCTTGATGGCCCTTAAAATCTCTTTATTAACCCTCCGAGTGTCCCTTGTTTTGGCCTTAATGTCTGCCTATTTTTTGCTCATTTGCAAGGTTTTATTAAAACAGATCTGAGAAGCTTGAAAACAATGTTAATTATACTGTTCTATATACCATTTTGTTTGGAAAATCATGGGCTTCAATATTATACATAAAACATAAGGAACATTTGTTTCAAAAAAATCTTTTAGGTAAAAAAAAAATATTTTGGAAAAAAAATAAAAAAAATAAGTTCGCGCTCAATGAAATTGTATAAATTATAGGCCTATAAATATTTGAAAATAGCCACTTTGTTCTAAATTTTATGAGGATTACAAATATATAATAATATAAGGAAGTAGATTTGCAAATAAATAAGTTATGGGCAAAAAACAGATTTCAGTACATAGCGTTTAGCTAAGAACGCATAGCCTAACCATAGCTAGGAATCTGGCTGATAATTTACATCAATATCACTACCTACTTCTTCAGGATCATCAACCAGCCCTTCAAAATCACTTAAATCTTCTTATAATGCACCACGTATATCACTACTTTTGATTTTTAACACTAAAACAATGATAAACGTAATAAAACACATCAGTCATCGGTGCGAGGTTAACCAAGCTGTTTACAAATACGCACGTCAGCTGTCTGCTACAATATTTTTGGAACTAAAATGAAAAGCGCTTAGAGACAGACCTCCGGAGAAAGCTCTGAATCTGCTGAAAAAAACGATACCCAACTCAATCCAGTTCAATCCGATTCAGTCAGTCCCAGAGCCGTCGCCGTAAACAGTGTTTGTCAGTCGATGCATCGACACAAAACACTACACAAAGTGTGTTATGTGTCGAAGCATCGACAAATAACACTCGGAGGGTTAATGATTATGATGAAAAGGTTTTATATCAAGTTTGTACTGACAATTTGTAAATGCTATTTCCAACAGATTTTTTAAACTGCCTTATTGAAATCAAACCTATTGTTCCTTGAACCATTTATAAGTTGTTCACTTTTTATAGGATGCAGGAACTACAGACAATACAACTGATCCATTAGATCCAGAACCTGATATTAGAGAACCGAATATGCAAAACAGTAAAGACAACATTTCTAACAATGCCTCACCAAATTCGTCATCACTTCATAATGATGATGATGATGATGATGAGTTTGGCTTCTGGGACCTCTATCACAACACCATAGACATTAAAAACAGCAACCCGTCTGTTAAGGTAAAGATAAAAATAATCATTGTTACTTAAATTGACTAACAATTTACAATACATTTATTTGTATCCAACCCCCATTTTTTACCAAAACCGAGGTGTGGTGAACAAAATACCCTCCTTCAATAACGGTCATTATTGGGAATTACTTAACTATTGCCATAGACTAACCAACCAACAAAAGTAGACTTCTCATCCCATTATCAAATCTGAAGCTTTTTTCATGTGTAGTTCATGTTGGTGACACGTCTTGCTAGTGTCTATGAAATTTATTTTATCATTTTAGGGTCAGTTTTATGATTAGTGCTTTAGTGATTTACTGTTTGGTTATATAACTATGGGACGATTTATTGTTTATGATAAGTTGGTTTCTATTTAGGTAAATGAGGTTTTACATAACTGAAATAAGAAACAAATCGTAAACAATAACTAACACGATCCTAGCGGCACCGTTCGGAACCAACAATAAAATTGTCTGCAGCTGATCCATAAGGATGACAAATCTACTTGATGTTTTCAGCTATTACTTGGTATTTCAGTGGGATTGGTGCTCAGTTAGTACTCAAGATTGCGGGTTTGATCCTGAAAAAAGTCAGTAGGTTTTTGATGGTTCAAAACTGTACCCAGTTTTCCTTGATTATTGGGTTTTAATAAATGGTCTGGCTAAAGGACCCAACCAGATGGAAATTGATGAAAACCGTTATTCTGATAAGGTGGACTCATATTTTACTTTGTTTATATCAAAGGATTATAACAACGGATTCTTCTTGATTTTCTGTAGATTTGCTTATTTTTACACATACTAATACTATGTCAACTTTACAGAAGGTTGATATTTTTACAAAAATGCCAATGGAAAATGGAAAGGTTTGCAGACTTGAAACCGAGGAACCTAGTATGGCGAAACTGAGCCAACCCAGTCAATCAATACTCAATAATCAGGAGGAGGACGAATTTGCTTGTTTTGGGATTTGATTGGTGACGACTGCGTGTCAAAAAAGGTAATATAAAACTAATTTAAAACTAATTCTGTAGAGTTTGTTATTTTTTTAAATTATATTTTAAAGACATATTTAAATAATATGTTTATGTTTTACAAGGGTTTTACTCAGTTACTAAACTATTCTTAAATCGTTAAAACTATAAAAGAGTTGTAACTCCATACTACAACACCATTCATTTCATACTTACATGTCAGTTTTAGTTAGTTCTCTATAGGGCACAGTCTTGAGAGTATTTTTATAAATTTCGGAACCAAAAAAATCTACCTTTTTTAGAGACCAAATTAGTTAAAACTAAATTTGATCTGTAGTTATATATATATATATATTAATAAGTATGTATTTAAAAAAATATATATTTATGGTATCCTTTTGTAAATTGAAAGTCTAACAGATATTAGGCGATCCTACAACTGTAAATTACAAACCTTCATTCTCAAATGAATATGAATAGATATATCAATTAACTTTTACTCTGCCAAGCGGAATGTCCATAAGACATGCGTCGTTGTAAAAACATCAGGATATGCAAAACGCTCCTCAACTCTTTCCTTGTGCTTTAATTAACTACTATAATAATTTAAACTCTACCAAACCAAACTCATAAAGGTATAAATACACTTTTGTAAAAGGTAAAGTAACGGAAATAACTAAAGTGTGTTTAAAAGCCTTCATGAATGTTGCAAGGACAGTTAGTAATGTTTAAGTACCTCCCATTGAACCTGTGCAGTACAGGAGGTGAACAATTATAGAGTAGGCTATAGAAGACTAGTAAGGTAGATTTGTAAAATCATAGACAAAAAGAAATTAAAATAGACTGTCAGCTGTGATGTGGTTACCTTGATTACCATAGCTTCTGGTACACACCGCTGGGAGCGCCGTGTATTTACGTAGCGTGCACGCCGTAACTACATGGCGCTCCCAGCTGTATGCGCCAGAACCTATGATAACCGCAGCATAGCTGACGGTCTATATCTAATTCTTTTTTCTATGGTGAAATTAAAAACAAAGTACCTATGAACTTGTTTACTTTTTTTAATATATTACACAAATGTTAAATAACAAAACAATGGAAAACAAGAAACCTTTTAAATCTTATCTCTAAACACAACATTACACTATCCATCCAAATCATTTATCTGGCTTAGGACTGCTTTCGGTTTCCTTATCCAACAACGCTGATCTGATTCCAGCCTTCTCCAATTCCTGGATCAGGTCTCCATTCTGATGCATTTGGAGGAGAATGTCACAACCTCCAACAAACTCTCCGTTGATGTACACCTGGGGGATGGTGGGCCAGTTGGAGTACTCCTTGATGCCTGAGAGAAAAAGTTACATTGTTATGAGCATCTAGTAAAGAACACTTTGAAAAAATACAAGTGGAATACCAGAAAATGAACTAAAGCTTTAACTTTTAAACAGCAAGAGTTTATTATTTATTTAATAATTTTGTTACTTTGCTGTCAAAAACAACCTTTTTAATAGTTTTCTGTCCCACCTTTACATTTAAAGAAGTAAACATTCAAGGTACGCTCTAGATCCAGTGGTGTCATGGCATGGCAGAACGGTGCATCTGGCCCAGAACTAATGTATAGGGTGCCCCCCAGCCCGGGTCCATCACCACAACTACATGTAGCATGTAGCAGGATTGTTTACGTTATAATGATATAAAATTGCTCAATTTAGCATTTTTACTTTTTGAGGTTATTTTTTATACTGTCTGCTAACTTGTGTTAAAACTTACATGTTTAGAATATTGAAATACTGCAGAAATAATGCGGACATACTCACTAGAATATGATATTTTACCAACACATATTGTTTGATTTAGGCTATAGTATATTTTAGGTTAGGATGAAAAATAACCGAGAGAAAATATGACAAATACTGTATAATGCTGTTAAACAAATAAATAAGTTACCATTGATTTTTACAGATATTTTTTTTTTTTTTGTAAATAAAAATTCTTTTTCCCATATATCATAGCTCAGCGTTCTAAATTTAAAGACTTTGATAGTTCTAAGCCTAAACTACTTTTCTTTAAATAAAATGGATTTTTTCTTCTTCAGATTGTTTGGGTTTCACCCGTGTTCGTGTTCTCGTGTCATAGTCCATGGTGTTTTATAAACATGGGATTTGACACATCTTTTGTCAACAATCTCAATTGTAGATTAGTTATTTTTATTCATTAAGCTGAACCTGCTAAATTGCACGGTATGAGTTTGTGTTTGTCGAAGTGGCGTAGTTAATTACGTAATTAAAATTTTGTTACCAAAATTGGGGTAAAAAATGCCACTGTTGTTGGCACTGTGGGGTAAAAAAACAAAAAGAACTAAAAATAATTTAATGTACGTACATTAAATTATTTTTAGTTCTTTTTGTTTTTTTAATGTTTTTTTTATAAATAAATTTGTTATTTAACAGTTTAACAGCACACACCTAACTTTCCTTAATATGTACCACGGTTGACTTGGATCAGCTGTAGCCTATTTTTTATTCGAGCCACTCACAGATTGTAAAATGGTATTTTCCCCTCATCATTTAGTCCTTAGATAGCTTGAGTTATTTAAAAATGAAATTAAATGAAAAATCATTTATTAACACAGGCAATGTTAGGGCCACATGGCCCTATCTTACACTTAACCTGTGGTTAGCCTACTTAAATATGATACAAATATTTTAACAAAATCAGTTTATACAAATAACCAAAACATAAATCATAGATACAGAAACTTTTAACAAAAATCAGTAAATTTTAAATTTTACAAATACACACACACGTGTCAGCGATCGCCCATGCGCACAAGCCCCTAGGACAAACCCACCATGGCCATGCATTCAAAATAGAGATTTTTTTGTGTTGCCACAAACCGGGAACGACTATCAAGGGATTTAATAGCTAAAGGTAGATTGTTCCAAAGACAGCAAGCAGTTACAACAAACGCTCTGTCGTAAGGAAGGTTGTGAGGAACTGGGACTACTTATCAATCTTATCCTATGACAGTGACGGGAATAATTACCTTAATTTCAGGGAATACTTCTATGAAATGTCTAAGCCGTTTACCTTTGGTGGGTTAATCACTATTTTTAGAAAGTTATTAATAAATTGCAGGTTTAAGGATTGGATTTTAATTTTTGAATTATTTAATTAGTAATAGGGCCTATATAAAAATTGAATACTTGTGTCAGGCAATATTACAGCAATCATATTTTTTCCCCCTTAACTGAGAATGCTCTTTCCGATAACTAAAATAGCGAGCTGTGTTAGAGCGCTAAAACAGCATTGCGGGAGTTGTTGCAAAACACGTTAGAAATTTTAGTATGAAAAGTACGACCTGGACTACCTGGAATTAGGCCTATTTTATTTACTCATGAATTACTCATGAATTTTTTCTGGTTGGCCTTGTGGACACCCTGTCTATAGTTGATTGTCTACCACATGACAGAATCGACGTCGCCCTAGTAAAAAAAAAATCACCAAACTGCCGCTGAGTTGCAATGACTGAATCATTACTTTTTAAATTGGACTCAATCACAAACGTACGATGCTCAGGTGACCACTGCTCTATGACCACAGATAATGGCACCGTGTAGGCTTTCTAACGAGCCTAACCCCACCACTCTCAAACGACATGTTGCCGAACAGTGCACTACATAAAATAGATCGGTTTTTTTGCCGCAACGTGTATGAGCGTATTGACTATGAATTTTTTCCAACTACCAATGAAAACCATGAATTCTGCATGAATTTTGTCATCTCACTATGGTGGCAACCCTGGTTGTGGTTTCACAACTATTCATATTTGTTTTCAAGGTTTAACGGAATGGTGAATTATATGCCAAGTTTGGTGACGAACGTAATCCCGTGAAAAGACTCGGATTTACACAATTCCTGTCTAGCAGGCACTTTGACGTTTTAGTGTCACAAAAAGAACCTGTTTCTCCTAATTGTCAGCCAATCCCGAAATCTCAACAAAATACATCAAGGGGTAAGTGGCGTAGCAGTTGCGCAGACAAACAAAGGAAAAAGCAGGCGAAGAACGCAAGCACAAAGTATGAACAAACTCATCCTGAAAGACATTCCCAAAGATTCAATGGATGGTGAAAAATCTATCAGCAATGTCATATGATCTAAAAATAGATGATGAAGGAGATAGCTCGGTGGCGATAGGCACCATGACGTTCAAATGTAAGTACTGCGAGGCCTTAAAATGGAAAGAAGAAACACTGAGAAACACTACCATTTGCTGCAATGGTAGTAAAGGTCAACCTTTCAGCCTTTGCAGCACCTACCTAAAAATTTATGCAGTCTGGTCATGGGCAACCACCCTGAGAATACACACTTTATGGACCGGGTGAGACATTATAATAGCTGCTTTAATATGACATCGTTTAGAGCAAAACAGGTTGTAGCTGAATTGTTGACTGAAGGTTGTTTGTTTTTATATCGTTAATGTTATGTTAAACTTAGGTAGGCTAAGTGTCATGTGTTTAAACCATCAACAAGCTATTCTAAGCGGATTTGATGTGAGTTATTTAGTAGACTGAACTGATAGACAATGGCATCCCACCGTAACAACACATTGACCGTTACCCTTTGTTAATGCAGACATGTTTTAACTTGGCAAGTTACTGCAAAACCTTTTTAAGTTGTTATTTATATATGTTTTAGAGGTTTAGTGGTAGAGAGGACTTACAAGTCCTAACTTCGCCTCTTAAGTAAAGACATTTTTCATTTCATTTCAATATGACTAAACGGCTGCACTTTACTTTAGGTCCTACACAAACAACCGAATGAAAATATTGATTATTCGATATATCGTTTGGTTAGTTAGGTTAGGTTAACTTTACCTAACTAACCAAACGATATATCATATAATCGATCGATATTTCATTCGAACGAGTGTAGGACCTAAAGTAAAGTGCAGCCGACTAAACTTAGGGCGAAGTCAATATTGCAGTTCCGGGGCCAGCTTATTAACCCTCCGAGTGTCACGTGTTTTGGCCTTAATGTCAGCCTATTTTTTGCTCATTTGCAAGATTTTATTAAAACTGATCTGAGAAGCTTAAAAACAATGTTAATTATACTGTTCTATATACCATTTTGTTTGGAAAATCTTGGGCTTCAATATTATATATAAAACATAAGGAAGATTTTTTTAAAAAAATTTTTTTAGGTAAAAAAAAATGTATAATTTCGAAAAAAAAAAAAAAAATAATAAGTTTGCGCTCAATGAAATTGTATAAATTATAGGCCTATAAATATTTGAAAATAGCCACTTTGTTCTAAATTTTATGAGGATTACAAATATATAATAATATAAGGAAGTAGATTTGCAAATAAATAAGTTATGGGCAAAAAACAGATTTCAGTACATAGCGTTTAGCTAAGAATGCATAGCCCAACCATAGCTAGGAATCTGGCTGATAATTTACATCAATATCACTACCTACTTCTTCAGGATCATCAACCAGCACTTCAAAACCACTTAAATCTTCTTATAATGCACCACGTATATCACTACTTTTGATTTTTAACACTAAAACAATGATAAATGTAATAAAACACATCAGTCATCGGTCCGAGGGTAACCTAGCTGTTTACAAATACACGCACGTCAGCTCAGTCAGCTGTCTGCTACAATATTTTCGGAACTAAAATGAATAGTGCTTAGAGACAGACCTCTGGAGAAAGCTTAGAATATTACGGAAAGAACGATACCTAACTCAATCCAGTACAGTCCGATTCAGTTAGTCATAGAGCCTTCGCCGTAAACAGTGTTCGCGAGTCGCTGTAGCGACGCACGACACTATACAAAGTGCGTTACGCGTCGCTGCAGCGACGCATGACACTCGGAGGGTTAAGTTACTGTGAATTTTAAATAAATACGGTAACCTTTTGCATGCACCCAAAGTTTGAAACATGGTAAAGTACAAACCTTGTCTTATGTTTTCATTTTTTAAAACATCGTGTGCATCATAGTTTACAGCATGCATTCTAAGAACTTGGACAACAGCATTGCTGAAACCACATCTTGGCTCACTTGGTACACCCTTCATAAACACTACTACTTTATTATTTTTAACTAAATTATCAATTTCTTCTTTGACACTTTTTGCAGCATCTGTAGAAAACTTTAAAATCTGTGGGTTAAACCTATTATAGGTCAAATAACCTCTACGCAAAACATTCATAATGGACAAATTTATTGATATTTTATCAAAAGTTTCAAAATTAAATCTTATTGATAGGCCTATATGCTATGTAAAAGTATCAGTTGTTAATATTTAAAAAATTAAGTCTGTTTATTTTCTACTCAGTCTGAGATCTCTTCCGATTTAACACAATATTAAGAACATGACATAACCAAACCAACCACAATCCACAACACACAACAAACAACCTTGCACTTGCAGACGAAACTTACTGTTTTTTTTCGTCTTTATGGCATAATGCCGCAGGCTTTACATGAAATGTCATTTAACTTGTCTGTACGTTTACTTACTTAAAATCTGTAACGCGCCCATTATTTAGTTTTTTTTTTACTATCATAGACTTACCAACACTGGGGTGGGTTCACTATCATTGACAACCATAGAAACTTATCGAAAATCCAGCCAGGTAAATGGAAATTCGCACAGTCTGCAGGTTTGCTGCGGCGGGGGTATTTTTAGTTTTATGAAGTCCTAGAGGGAACGGAACGGAACTAGACCCACTGACTGAGGGAGGGAAATTGGAAAAACAATAAACCATAACATAACCTCAATCTCAATAATTGATGATAATTAATCTAAGTTCTCAGTCCTAATTACTAGTCTAGTCCTAATTTTCGTGGGAATAAATAAAATTAAATTCTGATGATAAAGCAATTTGGTTTGAAGGATCTAATATTAAGCAAGGTGAGTTTTAACTTACTAGGTAAACAGATTGTACTGTAGTGATAAACAGATTTATTGCGTTGAGGTTATGGCATTCCTCAACCGATTTTTAAGTTAAACAAAATAAAGACTGTCTAGGTCTTAAGTTAAATTTATCACTAGCCATTTCCCGAGAAAAGATAACACATTATTCCTACCAACTAAATCCCTTTCAGTAGGCCCAATGTCTTAAATGAAAACTGGGTAACTTAGGCATAGCCCTACCTAAGAATGTAGCCTGCTTACTAAATAGAAAAGTTGAGATCAAGCCTAGTACAGTATTAGTGAAGGGACCAATAAATAATCTGTGTTCTAAATTGTATCTTGATAGGGTAATCCATAAAATATATTTAGGGATGTCCATAATAAGTTAGCACAGACTTTGAATACAGAATGGGTTGCAGTGGCAACTGGAAGTATGCTTCCAGTGAGCATACAAGGATTGTGGACACAGTGCACATGGACACCTTGGAAATGTTACTAGACAGGATGGTGAAGATCACAGATCTAGAAAAGCCATACAATGTCAACATTGTTGACAGGACTGTCTGGGATAAAGGTGAACCTGAATACATGAAAAGGGGGATGGCACACTTGGTATACGGGTACGGATGGCTTGAAAAAGCCAACAGACACTGGGGTGGGTATATATGAAGTCAGACCCTAGGCGTAGTCATGTGTTAGCCTGGGGAAACTGGCTACTGTATTCTAGGCTGAAGTTGTTGCCCTGTCCGAGTGTGCAAGAGTGTGTTTGGAGCGTGGTCTGACAGGTAACACCATATAGGCTACATGGACTGGCGACACTAAAGCAGCGCTAATGGCACTTGACAGTTTCAAATTTACCTCTAAGGCAGTATGGGACTGTCATCAGGCCATGAAAACGCTGGGAAGTAACAACAAGGTTATCCTTAGCTTGGTTCCTAAATTTCCCATATAGGGAAGCAAACTATATTTTATAAGTTAGTTACAGTATTTTATTTATTCAGTTAAACATTAATTTATAGCTCTAATTTCGACTTATCAAGAATATGGAAGAAAATGAAGAACATCCCTTGTGTGAGAGACTGCTGTGTCCTGACCTGCTGGTTTTTGATGACTCAGAGTGTCTACAATATTTCTCAAAAGGTACAGTAACAATTTTGATCATAAAAATATGCAAGTCATAGCTTGCTTACCAAATGCTGAAAGCATCTTACTAATTCAATTCTTTAAGACAGTGACACTCACTTCTAGCATTTTAAGTGAACTAGTGTACAGTAATTATAAATAGTCTATTAAAAGTCCTCCACACCTAGTTTGACGATGTGCATGAAATAAATAAAGAACATTTGATTTGATTTATGAGATGTACACCAGTCTTGAGTCCTGTCCGAGATGGAATTTGAACCCTCTGGTTACAGTTTTTTTCCTAGCCCTTGCACAGAAAATGCAGCTGTCCACCCTACTAACAGGACTTGTCAACAAAAGTCGTCAGTGTTCGGATAAATAGTTCTAAACTTGACTTCTAAGCTGCAGAACATGTCAGTACTGTAGTCGTTTTTTTTTTATCATACTCTCATTGATAGCTTTGGTAGTAGTAATAGATAGTTCATTAGATAGGCCTAGTTCATTTTAATCTATGTTTTGACTCCTTGTTGAAATTAACTTCTTACTCATCTCAAACAGGATGCAATTTCATGAATGGTAGCATGAATGGTAGGCCTACTTTGGTATTATCCAGAGGCCACCCTTATACAGCGCGCTGCATTGTGAATCAAACAATACCAGATGAGTCATACTTACGCTCAGCAAATCCCCTCCACGTAGGCCAAGGTTCACCTAGGTGCATCACCTGTCACCGCCTGTATCTAGGGCATTAGGTGGGCAAAAGTATGACTCACCTGGTATAGTTTGATTCATAACGAAACGAGGAAAGTCCTACAAACATATTTATGATACCCCAACCTAACATAACCGCCGCAGCGTGCTGTATACCTACTTGGTGGAGTATAGCGGCGACGCATTTTTCAATCCTCGCCGACATTGCTGCCTTCTGGGAGGCAGAAGTCAAAGGCCGCTGATTGTAATCATGACAAATTTGGACAGTGAGTCAATTCAAGTATGTTCTTTCCAATTATGTTGTTATTTTTAGTCTCCGGTAAAAAAATCCCTCCAAAATAAGTGGCCTCCGGATAATACCAAAGTACCAGATAATATTTAGATGTATATCCATTTACATGTGAATAACCAATACTAATATTAATTTTTCTGTTCACAGATACTATTTCGAGACATTATTTGGGATGTTCTAACACCGAGCAGTTGCACAGTTTATCCCAGATCCCCCACTTGGTGAGTAAAAGTGACTATAGTTTCACCGCTTAGAAAGTGACCTCCTCTAGCATTGGTTAGCATTAACGTGCAGGTCGCTTTCTAAGCGGCCGAACTATAGTCTGGTAAATCAATGTAATGAGTATAGTAGACTTCTTCTCGTCAATGGATGCTTGACCGCGACTACTATTTGTTTGTCACCAGAATAGATTGTTTGTCTAGCCTACCTATCATAGTACTGTATGCCTACCTATGCAGAAGGACATAAGTCTAACAAATTTAAAAAAGTGTTTTATTTTTTTATTTTAGAGCATTTTGTTTTTAATTAATGCTAGAAGTACCAGTGTTGGCCAGGATCCATAATCAGCAAGTCTTGCTGGATTAAACACTGCCAGACTATCTCACTTTGGGGTTAGTTTAGGTAGCCTAGACTCGACCGGATTAATAAATGTTAAGTAGGCCTAAATAAACTAAAATAAAATTACTTTAAAAGATTTTACCTACGACCGTTTTTTTTTTTAAACTAGCCATTTCAGTTCAGTTCTTAGATTTGTAAATATTCACTTAACAGCATTGTTGTTTTACTTTACAACACGAGTAACGGGCCAATGAGGTTAAAGGATCGAGAGAAAAGAAGTAAAATTATAATACTTTGAATGTCAACTTATCAGCTGTTAAGACCAATTTTATTGAAGAAACAATGAGTGAGTGGTCGGGACAATAAGTCGTTGAATCACGATCAGTGGCTATGAGTGAAACAAAAACATAACCTCTCTTGGAAGTTAGGAGTAGTGATTTTTAGTAATTAAGAAACAGTTGTAGATAAAGTAGTGTAGACAACTCACGTAATTAGCCTTAACGACACTCGTAGAAGTTTTATTAGCACTCGCCAAGGCTCTTACCTTAAATTGTCTACTTGTGTCGTTAAGACTACTATAATCAAGTGATTCAACTCACACTGTCGATGACCCGACGAAAGAGTGACCACAAGTACGTCTCACAACCAAGGAAAAGGTGAGGATTAGATTACAGTAGTAATGGTAATGTTAACGTTAGGTACTACAATAAACTAACCTAGACACCCGTCCACAACAGCTATGTAAACACCTACTCTGTAGTTGTATCACCAATAAGTATCAATAATTGTTCTTCAAAATATTCTGTAAGATTCATTAGTGAACGGTTCTTTATATTTCTTAGTTCATTTATACATCCATACCTTCTGGATGCAAAGAACCACATAGGAAGTATCCATACAATTTTCATGGATAGACTTTTACTATTGTATGCCATATTTTCAGCTCATTTAAGATGTGATGTATGTTGGTACTGCACTTAAAGGTTGTACAGAAACAACCTTATTTTATGTTTACCCAGCAGCATACAATCCTGATGAACTTCAATGGAATTTTCTTGGTTAATCGTCTTTCTTGTAGGTGAAGAATCCTGAAGCGTTGCTATTTATGATGAGTGTGTGTGAAGAAGAATTGGCCAAAGACTGCTGGAATTATTGGCAATGCAAAAAGAAGTTTACTATTTCGGTGTCTCATGTCATAATGATTTTCTTAAACTGGGGTAAGTTTTTATATGGCTTTTGAATAAAGAACAAAATTAATGTCACTAAATGACTACATCTTCATTGTTTGGTTTCATAATAATCTATCTAGAAACACTCTTCAGTTCCCTATCTATAGAACAGTTATTTATGAGAAAGCTCCTTTGTATATGGGTAGGAAGCTATTTAACCACCTCCCTAACCAAATAAAATCGACAGAAAAGATGGATGATTGTAAAAAACAGAGACCTTTTGTATCACCTGCGTTCTTTTTTTCCTGTTCATGCCATTACTTCTTTTTTTTTAGAGGAGATGAAAGAGAGTGGTATCTTAAAGCTTTTTGGGAATGCGGCCAAACCCATGTGCTTTGTGGGAATGGAATACTACGTAGGCTTTTTTATTATTTCATGATGATCTTAAAAGAGAGCCAACAGAATGCTGTTTAAGAAAGTACGCTTGACGAGAACCTATTGGCAATTGTTCAAATTTTCCCCGTTCTTTAAATTTCGACGTACAATTCACAGACTTTTTGAGTGTACCATTCCCTGTTTTCTCAGTTAGCTGGACACCCTTATTACTATTTCAGAACTAATAGCTTTGTTTTTAATTTAAATACAGTAACCTTTTTTCATAACAGGTGGATTCCCTCGGTCAACTTTTTTAGTTTTCCTATTTTAAAATTGGCAAATAAATATTTCTTCCTACTTAGTTTGCTTGTTTGTAGGGGCCACACCGAAGAGCCTAGGAATACAAGATGAACCACAGCTTTATTCAAGTTTCAAAATCACTGCTTGCCCGACTTCTTTGGCTGATTTTCCTACCTCATACCATGTTAAGGCAGTAAGTACAAATATTTTAATCATCTTTCACATAGAACATAAACAAATATAGACAGCATAAGTATATTTTTTTATAGGTACTAAATACGGTAGAAACTCACTAATTCGAACCTCAATAATTAGTAATGTTTGTTTGTTCCCCTCAGAAAACCCCTAAAATTAGAAAAATAATATACCGATAATTCAAAGTGATTTTTTCAATTGATGCAGCCTCTACAATTCGAATTTTCACATACTTGAGCCTCTAAAATTTCTAATTTTGTTGCCATAATTTGAACTATTAGAACTGCGTCACCTTAAGCACTGTAATTCGAATTTAGAACAAAAAATATGCCTTGTTGAAACATGAACTGACGCTCTTATTGATGTTCCCACAATGTGTTCATTAGTCTCCTTTCTCTCTAACTCTCTACACTTAAAACTGGGACCTCCATAATTCAAGTATTATTTATTCTGACCTTGTCGCGTCTCCGCTGTCTGGTCTTCTGCTCCTTCGTCGTCACCAAGATTGTAGCTCAGCGTAGATGTCGACCTTCACCTTGTAATGGGTTATGAGGGAGTCTTTTAATAACACGCACGAATGCAATAAACTTGTATATTAACTGTTCAATGGGCTCACAAAAGATTTAACATTGACAAAATGAGTTAATCGAAACAACGTAAAAGTATATACTGAACAGACGCAGCACGCGTGTTGCCTGTTGCGCATCTCCCTCTCAACTGACTCTCGATCACGACTACCCTTACTAGTGTTCATGCACACTTTGGCCTACGCGTAAGAAAATAGTTCCAAACTCTCTTAATAATTTTAAAATCTATATTGGATATTTTAGGCCCGTCACAACCTCTATAATTCAAACTCTCTATATTTCAAACTTCCTATAGTTCGAAATATATTGTCTTTCCTCTCAAATTTGAATTAGCAAGGTTCTTTTGTAATTTTATCAAAATTAAATATTTCCTAAGCCACCACTTAAAGTTTCTTCCATCAAAGCCAAGGTTCTAAACATAAATGTTATTATTTGTTTATTGAAGGTGCTGGGTTCTATTTCTGAATGCCTGTCAAATGATAGTGATGAAAATGATGAAATACAAAGACACTATCTCCTACGTATCCTGGCGATCGCATCATTAGACAAACGGCTTAGTCAGTACGGTTTGGAGTTTCAACAAACCATCTGCGAAGTTCTAAAAGCATATCCAGTCTGGACTCTAGAAAAAGTAAGTAAAACACTGAGGCTGTAAAATTTGAAATCTGTTATCAGCTTTACAGTTTTAAGATGGAGGTGTGCAAGCATGACAAATTGGATATATTGTTATTGTTAGTAGCCTAAATAAGATAAATCACAGTCGAGTGCAGTTGCCCAAAGCCTGGCACATATCTTCCGTATACAATCAGGCTAAGGGTTTATCTGGATGAATCTGATAGAGTGTACAGTCATGCCAAATGGAAGTAGCATGCAATCTCAAAAGATCGGATGGTCGAAACCCCACAACTGAAGAAAAGGAGTGGGTCATCACCAGAACCGTTATCAGTTATCCTTTCTGGTGGTGTCTTCCAATTCGCGGTCAAGTGTAGTTATACTGCTGTGGTAAGGTAAAACATACAATTTGTTTTCTATGTTATCTATCTATCTATCTATACTATTATAAAAAAGAGGTGGTTGCTGTATGTGTGTATGTGTGTATGGGAAAAGTAAACTCGAAAAATACTGGTCGGATTGGGCTGAAATTTGGCATGATGATAGCTCACATTCCCGATTGACATATAGGCATATTCTTATTTCAAAAATCCTTTCGGGCTCCGCCCCAGTGGCTCTGGAGTTTCCCATGTTAACCTTATGAGAAATGGAATTATTGAATCTTAACAGCTGTTTCAATTAAACAAGTTGGTTCTGTTCTATGATGTTCAATAGCATTAAAGTTACAAGGATTACCAACAGGGTGCAGCACTATTATTTCTTTTACATTTATGACAACAGCTAATTTGCAACCAAAAGGTGAGTGAGCGTAGCGAACTCCGCCCCAGTGGCTCTGGAGTTTCCCATGTTAACCTTATGAGAAATGGAATTATTGAATCTTAACAGCTGTTTCAATTAAACAAGTTGGTTCTGTTCTATGATGTTCAATAGCATTAAAGTTACAAGGATTACCAACAGGGTGCAGCACTATTATTTCTTTTACGTTTGTGACAACAGCTAATTTGCAACCAAAAGGTGAGTGAGCGTAGCGAACGAACTTCAACCTGGAGGCGAGTTAGCGTAGCGAACGAGCTAACCTGAAGGCAAGTGAGCGCAGCGAACGAGCTCCAACCTAAAGGTGAGTGAGCGTAGCGAACGAGCTCCAACCTAAAGGTGAGTGAGCGTAGCGAACGAGCTCCAACCTAAAGGTGAGTGAGCGTAGCGAACAAACTTCAACCAGGACGTGATTGAGCCATGCGAACGAGATAATCTTGAAAATTAAGAAGTTAAACGGGGCAAAGCCCGCGGGTTACAGCTAGTTACTTATAAAAGTAAACAACTGTTGATTTTCATACGTAGGGAATCAATTGAACTTTATGATAATAGTGTCATTTGGTGTCTGGATCAATCTTGGAATTAGTAAATAAAGTTTACTTTAAAACAAATTTAAATCTATATTTATTTAAATTTTATATTTTTATTTTTAAATTTTACACTTTGATTATCCAATAAAATTTTTTTGGTAGACTATTTTATTCTGAACAATATGGCAAAAGAATTACTTAATTATTGCCTGAGGTTTTCTTTCTATAAAAATTAGAGTTAAAGTCTACAAATTCGGTAAAACTAATTGCTGACCAAGGGCACTGCAGGCAGTGCATTAATTTCTTTTCCAATGGTACTAAAATTTTTACTAATAAAAAAAAAATTATTGAAAACCTGAACGTACTTCTGAGGCACTCAAATCGAAGTTGAATTTGTATTTTTAATTTGTTCTTTTACCATTTAAAACACAATCATAAATAACACTTAAACCACAATGGCACTTAAAAATACACAATGTCGTTGATTAAAAATGTGTAACACTTCACCTGTATATTAATTGTATTTGGTAGCCAATCTGAATGTATAAATATTTTGCAGGTTGCTGAGCTGGTAGCACAGTTGCAGCAAGTATTGCAGCAGAATGCTGCTAAATTTTTTTGCAATTTGTTTGTGACCTCTCCCCGAATTCGTGATCTCAAAGTCATTGCTGTTCGTACCTTGTTGCAATCCAAGTTCAACTTTCCTCCGCCTCAAGAGCCATTACAATCCCTACTTCAAAATTTGCCTCTACAAGAACAAATTACTGAAAGGTAAAAAAATCACTTGATGCTAACTGATTATATTATATTATGCAGGAGGGTGCTTTTTTTTCACGCAACCCGAATTAAAAGTACTGTGATACACATTTTGATTTTAATGACAAAAAAGAAGGTAAGTTCAAATAGTTAAAAAGGCTAAGCCCAAAGTAATGTGCTAAAATCTAAACATTTCGAGGGTAGTGTCCTAAGAAATGAGAGTCTGGGGCCTTTGGCACTGGGGATTCCAGCAGTACTGAGAGTACGTTGAGCCTTCCAGTGTACGCAAACAAATTTTAATCTCCTCCCTCAAAAATACAACAAAAAACAGCCTATAATTTTTGTTATTTTGTATTTATTATATAGGCCTAGATACAATTTTGTTATCTCTTTTATGTTTATTTTTTGTAACTATTGCATGTTATCTATATTGTAACATATTTTGAAGCATGTTATAATTAATAAATTTATCTTCTGTCTATTGAACGATATATTCTTTCTTTTTCAGATTTGAGTTGTTGGAAATCTACCTGCTAATCAAGCTTTTGAACACTTTGCTTATTACCTGCAACCTCCTACCAAATACCTGCGATAGTTTTGTGATGGACCAGCCTTCTGAGGTAAGTTATAATGGTGTAGCTATATTTATTGGTTTTTACCTGTATTCTATGTGCACTGCGATTTGCAAAGAAATTCTTAAGTTGATTAAAATTTATCTAGTGTTAGAGATCTCGAGTGTTGGCGTATTTATGACTTTTTACAGTTGCAATGAGTTTTTTACAAGTGAACAATAGCTATTGAACACATTGTTGCAATGAACATGCTGAATACAGTGGTCCAATATGACGAAACAAGGATCTGTCCACTCATCTTAAAATAAGTATATTGAAACTATTAAAAGATTAATGTAACGTGTGTGTCTTCTGTCCTACACAATAGTTGGAGGATAAGGTTTAAGGCAGACAAGGTATAACCTTTTATGTTCTTTGAATTCTCAATTTTTTTGCCTAAATTGCTTAAAGATATAAGCAAGGTAAGGACCATAGGTAATAAGGTCTCTGGAAAGTTATTGAATGTTGAAAATACTGTTTTAAAGATTTTCTTACACATGATAACCTACTTAAAAAAAGTCTCTACCTCAAGTAAGACAGAGCATTTTTTTTTGTTTTTAAACTTCTAAGTTATTTTTAACCAAGCAAATAGTGTTATGTAATAAATAACTCTCCAAAGACCTTATTGTATTATTTATCTACATGAACATGATGTACAAAAAGAGTTAATAATTGTTTAGTTAACCACAATGTGTTTTAACAGGCATTTACTATAGGACTTATGAAATGGACGGACGCCGTGTATGCTAAGTTGATGGCTCCTCCTCTCTTGTTTGATATTGAAGCTAGCATTATCAGAGAAAAGTAAGTTATTATTTTGTTTCTACATAGTTTCCAATAGTTATTACTAAATACTTACAAAGCAAATGTCTATAAAAATAGACTTTATGACAAAATTTCAGGTAGAGAGACAAAATTAGATTTTCGAATACGTAATAGTCGTCTCACCTGAAATTTAGGCCATACCTTAAATTTGTCCAGATAGCCTAGCCAAAAATGAGATAGTCCAGGACTCTAACGTGTTCGTTAATAAATTATCGTTTCGAGTTTATTGGCTCAGAATATCAATTACAAAAACGTTATTGAAATAACAAATTTTGAAAAAAACTATTGTGAATGCGAATAAGCCTAATTAATTGGAAACTTAACCTAAACGTGATTTGTTCTTTATACTTGGTAATCACCAAAGTAAATGTGTCGGGAAAATTAGACTCGGTCGATCACCAAAGTCGATACGGGGTTTCTTAAATCAGATTTACAAAAGACGGTTTGGGGTAACGGAATAAGCACTACGGATATCATTCGGGCTTAAATAACTTTCATGGCAAATAGGAGTTGAGAGTATGTGTGCAAGAGACGGAAAAAAGTGTGCAAGTCGCGCTCAGCGCGTAGTTAGGAACAATACGTATTATAATTTAGGGAATCGGTCAATGAAAAATATGTAATTGTACAGTTTGGTCAACCCTCTTGTCACTTAATTATTACTTTTTTCAGGTGTGTGCGATTGAGAGCAGATTGTAAAGAACTTGTTAAAAATCACGACAAAGGAATATTTAATTGTATGTATGAAGATTGACCTGAAGAGACATGGAATCCATTTGGAGACTGCCAGGTCTAGATCTGCTGCCTCTAGTTACGACAGTGATACCCCGGTTAGGCTGTGATAAAGGACAATGTACACTTTACTGTAGTATATTATTTGGAGGTAATCTAATGCTACAAACGCCACATACACATTGACTGATTGCCTGTTGTCTTGAGGGAAGAGGCCCAAAACCCTCCTGAGGAGCTTGCGCCTACCTCTTGCCACCCCAGACTACGCTAAAACTTACAAGTTTTCTTCCTAATCAAAATCCTCGACATTCTCGCAACATAGTATGGAAGGAATAAGTGTTAAAATTGAATTGTAGTATTATCTGAATCTATGATGATACGAAATAGCTAACTAATATGAGTAGAAGTAGAAAAACAGAAAACAATTTTCTATTTTCAAAAATGTATTTGTCATGTAAAGTATTGTAATACAAGTATATCATTGCTAGTAGATGTACTCTCATTTTTTATCCTTACAAAATGGTCGTATCTAGTAGGTATGAAGTAAATTTCTTGGTGCTTCATAAAAGGATTTGCAGTATAAAATATGAAACTGTCCAATAATTTTATCTTCTGCTTATAAAATTGCTGTATTACAGCTGTAATACAGCGTGTCTGGTCATAAGTGTTTAGTAAAATGATTTGTTAAACTACACGATAATGGTGATTGAATGATAAGTGTAGGATGAGTGGCGCGATCTTGTAGTCTTGTAGTCAGATAGTTGTAGTACTCACTAGTGCGTAGAAATAATGTGGAGAAAAGTAAAATATGCTGGGGAAAATACAGGAACTGAGATGTTTGCAGATGACATAATGATATGGAGAGTTACAAAAACAACTGGATAATTGGACATATTTAGGCATGGTACGTATTATCGAGCGATGGGAGAATGGCACAAAAGGTAACGGCTAGACTGGGAAAGGTGCAGAATTTGTTAAAATGTTGACACCTAGTCTGGGCTGAAGATAAACCAAAGACTTCAAGAGTTACCATGTATAAAACTTATTATACACCGATAGTTACATAGGGTGCAGAAGTTTGGAATATAACAGAGAGGAAATGGGTTCATCAGGCAGGGGAAAGGATATTTCGATATTTGTTAAAGGTAAAGGGAAAACAAGCTTGCATAGAATTCAAATTAAATCAAAAATCATTTATTTGATTAAAAAATATGTTTTTAGGAATGAAGAGTTGAGAAGAGGAATAGTTGACGAAAGTTTGAGAGAACGAGTAGAGAAATCGAGATTGAGATGGTCCTGCACTTAAAAAAAATGGAAAATTATAGAATACCCAAAAAAATTTGTGAGCTTCACAAAAACGGATGAAGGCAGAAAGGAAGACCTAGAAGAAGGAGGGTTAATGAGGTTGTCCTGAGGTCTACATTAATAGTTTGTTTATTTGCTTGTCATCTGGTTTGATATATTATTGTTTCATGTTTACTTTAAGTTTTGGTTTTTGTTATTAAATACAATGAAAGAAGTGGCTCTAACAAAATGGGTTTTAATTTAATATATTTAAGGGCACAACATGGTGGCAGCGGTAAAGACCCAATAAATTGAGTAACAGGGTGTCTAATATATATGCTGCATTACAATGTCAGAATCAGAAAACTCAGATATAACAGTAAGAAGACAAACATCTAAAATGACACAACATTCAGCAACATTGGGCTTCATTGATAAATACTCCTTTAAACCAGAAGATTGGGGCCCATGGTTAAAAAAGTTCAATAGGTACAGAAATGCTACCAATTTAGATCAAATAGATGGAGAAAATCAAGTAAATTTCCTTATAATATCCATGGGTGATAATGCAGAAAATGTATTAATAGCAGCAGGAGTAACAGGAGAAGATGAAAAGACTTATGATAAAGTGGTGGAAAAACTTAATAAGTATTTTACACCAAGGGTGAATTTGACCTATGAGAGAGCGAAATTCAATCAACGAGTACAAAAGCAAAATGAACCGATATCCGATTTTATAACAGATGTACATCAATTAGCTTCTTCATGTGATTACAAAGACATGAAAGACAGCCTTATTAGGGATAAACTCATTGTTGGAATAACAGATTCAAAGTAGGAATTTTGTGTTATATGGATGATATTTTAATTACCGGAGAAAGTAAACCCGAGCATGACAGCAGACTAGACCGAGTGTTACAAGAATTGGAAAAAGAAGGAGTTACCTTAAATGACAAGTGTGAAATAGGAAAAACAAAGATTTCATTCTTAGGTCACATTATTTCTTCTGGTATGATTCAAGCAGATCCCAAACACTTACAAGCAATAATCGATTTCCCCACACCCAGTGATGTGGGAAGTGTTAGGAGATTTCTAGGGATGTTGAATCATGTCGGAAAATTCATAGAAAACCTTGCTGATATCGTTCAACCACTGAGGGAACTACTAAAAAAAGATAGGGCTTTTGTTTGGGGTCCTAGTCAAGAACAATCATTTAAAACAGCCTTAAAGAGTTTACAAACAACTGTAAAGAAAAAAAGAAAATCTTCACTTATATTCAAAATATACTCTTTACTTAATTGATCATTCCATCACTGAACTCACCTCACACCTTTATGTAACGCAATTTGGCTATTCCATACAGGTGTGAGTATAACAAAAAGTTGCCCCCTGGTGGGGTTTTAATGAATTTAATTTAATTTTAATTGAACTACTGAGGACATTACAATCACAGAGCTGCGCAGTGGAAATAAAGATGTTAAGTGTGGGCCCTGTAATTAAATATCCCAGAAGTCCGATTTATGGACCGTGAGAGGTCTGATATGTTGTCCTCCTTCACACCTTCTTCAGCTTAATTCTAACACTTCTTAAAACTAATGGATGTGTTTATTTGAACACTCCATGAATTAAAATGTGCTGTTCTGATGAAAGATTGTGATATGAATTGATACTCTGAAAAACTGTAAAATTGCAAATAATAATATTGAAATATTGATTGAAAATATTTGTGAAACTGTTTGTTCAGGAAATATTTATCAAAAGTATGACTTCAAGATGTTTATATACACTGGATTCGGTTAAGCCGATTGCTCATGAATTCACCAATTTAATATTAAATATTATGAACTGAGCTTATAAAAATTGCACTGTCAAAATATATTTACAAAATGTGATCATCAACACTCATTGTGAATACTTTGTATACCTCTTTCAGTTAAGCCATTTACCTCTTTGCTTTACCAGTTTTATACTAATGATACTAACAGCTGAAACACAGGATAATGAAAAGATGGTGATTTGTAAAAATACTGTATAATGAGTCGAATTGAGCTGTGATACAAGTAACAAATATAAACAATGTAATAACCTTTTTTTGTGCACAATTTAACAATATTTTGAAAGAGAGAGTGAGAGAGTTGATTGTAAGATTGAATGTTCAAATTGGCGGTTTGTTCATTTTTTTAAAACTGCAAAGTCTCGGGAAAACCTAGCCTTGATGATTTTATTTATTTGTTTTGGATCACCAGACTCCCCAAAGATGTTCGTAATTATCAAACTGGCCAGTTTACAATTTAATCAAACAGGGACTATTATGTAGGTTTGTGATCTACATCACTCCTTGCTGATCAGTGCAACGGGGCCAATCGACTGCTGAGTCGATTATTTGATAATTTTTTATTTAGTATTTAATATTTATGAATTTAATGGGAGTCTATCCTCATGACCCTTTATCAACCCTAGCCTTCGACCGAGCACTCTGTTACCCCCATTTACGTTACACAATCAAACTCTCACTATTAAAAAATGTAATACTGTTCAAAAATTATTCTACACATGAAATACAAACGTTTTAAATAATAATACTGATGATGATAGAATCTGACTGTACATAGAATACAAAAATAATAATATCACAGATAAACATTGCTCTTTAAATTAATATACCATTTCAATTCAATTTAATAAATAATTTTCATTTGACTAGGTTCACTATTATAACTTAAATTCTTTGTATGACATGACCAAATTTAATAAAACATTTTATTCTGAATCGTGACCATGTGCTCTAAGTAGACCAAATGAAACACGAAAATCTCAGACCAAACAAAACATGATTCATAACTTGTAAAACGAGTGGTACATGTGAAAAAAAATGTGGCAGATTGGCAAGACTATTTTAATACTAAAACACAAATAACACAAACATTTACTTACGTACACATGTCGACACATACACATTCATTCCGACGAAGATTCACGCGTACCGAACATTTAAAAACTGACTCGTGGTAATTTGTGACTTTTTGTCTGACCGAGCGGAACATCACGACACGGTTTTTTCTGGTGTAGGACTTATTAATTCTTGTTTTTTCGAGCTGGCGTTTTAATGATTCAATTGAAAATACCGTCACGACGACCCGCGATTCGCTAGAAACTGACATTTGCTATCGATATGATGCATGTACGAATTTTCATCACGAACGCGAACAATCAATCCGGCATCTCAACTGTCTCGACTTAATACTAATAAAACACACACCCAAATGCAATTCGGCGAAATTTTGACAATTGCGATCGTTTGATGCACGTACAATTTCCGCCCGAACGCTAATTTCCGAGCTACGAATTAAGATATTAATAAATTCGTCCTACACCAGCGACAAAACGCGACTTCACATGTTGACTACGCGAGTACTGAGCCACGAGTGACGAGGACGACGAGACGCTTTGCAGACGACGCGGTTCCCCGGTCTTCGTATCCTTCCGCGTTACGTCATGTTTGACTGACTTGTCCATTGCCTGTCGCGGATTTTAAATCTTTTGATTTGAAAATCGGCACAGAAATCTCCCCTGCCAAAAAATTGGCCCGAGCGACCTTCAGGTCCGCACGAAGGCCTTTTCCATCCCGGGACAATTTCGACCCGGCGCGACGACGCTTGACGTGGCAACAGACGCTTCATTCATACGACACATTTTTTGTTGATTTTTTTTCCATTGATTTACATTTAATACATTTAACACAAAACAATTTTACACATAAACATTTGAAATTTGAATAACAAAAATAGAAAATCTGAAACTTTAACAATAATAAACATTTTGCTTTGAGGTCGGTACTGAGAAATTAAAAATTGTTGTCAACTAACACCTTGTGTCATAAACCAAAACTGCATCAATCCATCAACAATTTGAATGGTGTAAACGCGCACGCTTAACACACTGTAGAATTATCTAGCATTCAGCGTTGAGTAGATGTCAACAATCAGTTCATTGACCCGTAGCGCAGTCGACAGTCAGCTGTTGCCGATGGAGTGGGCGGGGGCGGGGGACATTGTTGTGGTGAACGGCCCGATGTCTGCCTGTCTGTGCGGGTAGGTTCTACTCTCGCCCCACCACAGCTGGAACGTGACCTCTGTTGGCCAGCCTTCATGTCGCTCACAGTGGTTACATAACATGACTCAGATGATTCATTGTTTCTC